TGGGAAAAAAGCAAGGGAGGAGCCTTCCTGCTGTTCAGCTATGCCCTATAGCTCTGAAAACAGGGAAGGGAATGCATAGGCCAGCTTTCCCGCCAGATCTACTCTCAAAGAACACGCATTACTTCCACAAGCAATTAAATTAAAACACGTTTGACTCCAGCCTTACAGAAAGCATCTACATGTTTCACCGAACGTGGATGGTGTCAAATTGATGTAGCACTCTTTACTAACTTGTTAGTTTTGTGCCACATACTAAAGCTATTTTTCCCCCCATCAAATATTGAAAACATTCTGAATATCAAGTGAGTCCTGCTCTTTTTTCCACAACAGTGGAAATAATTAGCTACGAAGTTTTTCTAGTACATTTCTCTTAAGAAATCAGTAGCTTTCTTCACATCAGATTATTTGCTTTCTGACCAACTAACAAAAACATCTCTCTTTCAGAAGAGTGGACTGCCTACACAAAGGTATGAATACATTTGTTTCATCTTACTCCAGGCTTCACTTCCACATACTTTTATGAATCTACTTCACTAAGAAGAACTGAACAGTGAGGCATATATGCACAACTCAACTTTAATGTGTAGGTTTACTTCAAGAAATGTGTGTCACTGGGTTGTTAAACTACACATTTTAATGAGATTTTCTTTCACAGGCAGCCCCCTCCCTATCACATTAAGCAGTATTTTACACCATATTTTGGTTGGATCATCCGAGAGCACTGCACTAGGAACTAGCTGCCAAAAGGCCCGGCTGCTTGGATTAGCTGTGTCAAATTTCAACTTGAAGAATGTGAAATATCTCATAATCTTGAGTGGCATTCTTCATAACATTGTGGGAGGGAAGCGGGAGCAAAGAAGCCAGCAAAATAGCTCAATATTGTTCTCAGACATTGGCAAGGCAAATTGAGGGTGGCTGCTGGACAAAGGGATTGTTCATCCTACAAAATGAGAATACCCAAATTTTATAGATTAGTCTAGGCATTTTCTGCCGAGTTAAGGTGGTGTGTGAATTGCATTAAGATCTTACATCTATTATCAGAAAGTAAAACCTTGATTAAAAGTCAGCCATGATTCAGCCATGTTTTTTTTTTTTTCCTTAAGATGATCAGTTACAGAAAGGAAACCAAATTTATTTTCTCTCCAAAAGAAAAGAAATTAGAAGGTAGCACCACCGTTAATAGCAACATCTTTCCAACTGGTGGTTCATTTATTACTTGATTCCCTTGGAGATTTCAGACATGGCATGCAGATGAGTCAGGTATGTTAAAAGCACTGGTACTCATGAGCAAGGCTTGCAGAAGATAAGCCTCACGACAAATAGAAGTACAGAATAGAAGTGCTTTTTGTGACTGTGCCATGATGGGTTTCTCTTCCTAAGGCAGCAGATATCAACAATTGAGCTACATCTCCTCTTTGTCCCAGTATTTACTCATTTTTGAGGTTAAAATCTCATTTAATGCTAGTAGTTTGCCAACAGGTCTTTGTTCCAAGTATATTTGTGTTTGATACTGGGAGGGTTGGAAAAAGGTACATACAATCCGTGAATCAATATGCAGTGCAGTTCTCCAGACAAAGTTTAACAGATGTGTGAGTGCACACATAATAACATGTTCACTGAGGAAGAGGTCTCCTCAATTTTCTGAATTGTAGTTTCCAACCTACTCTTCAGCCTTTTGAATTTACAGTAGAGAAGAGGAGAAGGAGAGGGAAGGGGGAGAAGAAATCTTTATGTCTCTGTAGGCTTTCTGACCTATTACAGGAATAGCCTGCTCTGATCCCACTCAAAAATAATACATAAAAGCATAGCTCACTGATGGGGTGAGAATCTGTGTGTGATTTGTATCAAGCTAGGTGGCAATATGAAGAATATAAATTGCAAATGACTAAAACCAGAAGGATACTAAATCTTTAATGCACATACTTTCTTGTGGAGCCACTTGCCTGGCAGCTTCAGAGGGAACCCAATATGTGTCAGCAAGGATATTGCCTCTGGGCTTCCATCCAGACATTTTAAAAGCAAAGAAATCACGCAGGGAACATTGTACTCTTTGTTCCAGGGCCACTAGCAGGAAAGAATGGGGGGGAAGAAAAGAGTTTGGATGGTGTACTATGATTTCTGTTTCTCATTCTGACCTATATTGGAGTATGTGAAAACATAAAACAAAAAAATCAGTTTTTAGCTCTTTTCTTCTTTTTTAAAAGAAATCTGCTGAAATGTCAGATTATTCTGTCTGTCTAGAAGAACTTTGTGACAGCTGGCAACCCTCCTCCAACACTACCTTATATAACATATAGGGTAAAAAACCTACTGCTGCCCTCCAGTACTAATGAATCTCCTCTCCCCACTCCCAGGCTGTACTTTCAAAAGCCATCCTTTAGGCAAAAGTGCTCATTTTAGACAACCTTCCCTCACACAGCTTTCATTAATGACTGTATATTTCTGTTATCATGCTGAACTGGTGCTGATTAAAAATAATCAGCCAAAATAAACAAAAGAACCAGAGGGGCAGCAGACAGAAGTGTATATGGAGGAGACAGGGTGAGATGCTGAAGTCAACACTACAGTGGGAAGAAATGTTGATAAAAGAAAACCTTGAATTTCTTCTGAGCTCATTTTCCCCATGCCCTGTTCAGTACAATTCCTGCAGACACCCTGCTAGGGAAGAGTCCTCTCAAAACCCTCTAAGATGCTCATTTTCAATGAATTGAGACAGCTGGGCTCAGCTATCTTGAAGTACTTCTCTTTCAATATCTCATATGCCCATAAAATACATTGCAAACTCTTTAAAGCAGATTCCAAATGCCCTCCCCAGGCCATTTGGTTAGTAGTGTCATCACCTGACAACTATCTCAGTACAACAGCCACACTAAAATGTTGACATCTTAGAATAGAATGGTTTGGATTGGAAAGGGCCCTTAAAATCATCTAGTTCCAACTCCCCTGCTACAGGCAGGGACACCTCCCACTAGATCAGATTGCTCAAAGCCCCATCCAGCCTGGCCTTAAATGCTTCCAGGATGGGAGCATCTCCATCCTTGAGGACCTCTGCTATGTTGTATTCCTTTATGGTGATTTACATAGATGTCTGTCCTCAGGGATTTCTAAAGCTTTCATTAGGCTCACATTAGTAACATGGCATGACACAGATCTCTAAAAAAGAAATCAACTGAAATGCCCTAGAAGCAACCATACCCAGGACATTTATTTTTCCAGACCATGAGTTTCTTCAGTGTCTTTAAAATGTTTTCATCCCTTTGTAATGTGAGCCTGTGACGATATCTTGCTGCACAAAACATGCAGATTTAAAAGAGGAGTTACCACACAAATTATATCTCCCCTTTTGATCGAGTTCATCCCTAAAGTACTTTTTTTTTTTTGTCATGCCCTTCAGCACCCTGCTCTTATTAAGGAAATCAGGCACAAACAAAAAAACAAACTGACAAACCTACAGGGTCTGCAAGTAGAAAAAGATGGTAAAACATTGCAATTTAGCAGTGTTTTAGTCTGTATGGATCACATAGCACCACAGTAGTTTAAATTCTCTACTAAAATTACTGAAAACATTTAGTGTACCTATTATGTCTACAGGCATTGGGCCAGACAATCACAGACACTTGTATCTGTGCTTTCATCTGTGAAGGATGAGTACATAACTTAGGCATGTAAGTAATCAATCACATAGGCATGCCAGAATGCAAGGGTGTATTGTAGTTACACATCCAAGTGTGCTCCCACACCTCTCAGGCTTGCATTCCTACGTGAAAGCTTCATTTATGCATCTCTGAAGCTCAAGGCCTTTTAGATCTAGGGAAATAACTCCTGAATCAGTCACAAAGAAGCTATGCTTTCCATCATTCATTTGCATAAATTCAAATATATCCTGAAGTTGATGCTAGATACCTTAAAGATCAGTATTACATTGGAAAAAATTTTTGTGTATCCAAGCTGAAATAAAGCTGCCTGAATTTCCTATAACAGAATTGACAACTTTTAAAATTATACTCTTATACTGCAGCATCTAGCTTGCATAATAATCTAGCTGTCTGAGAGATTACTTAGTGGAATCATAAGTGGTTTTGTAACCATCTAAATACAAAGATCACCAAAAGTTAAGGCTCTTTCCTTGGGTGCTTAGTGACTGACCCTCTGAAATCCAAAGCAGTTAGTTTGCATCACTCAGTGGTAGACAGTAGAACAGTAGCTGCAGACATCAGCCACTTTGCAACTGTATGATAATACCATTAATTAGGTATTGACATGAGTTAATAAATCCAAGAAGGTTTTAGATATGCACCAATAATTTCTGTGTTTGAATGTGAGCAGCCTCTGGCACAAACATACTGCTGGATACAGAATGCCTCTGTCTTTCTTCTTGATGGATCTACATCCTAGACAATGAACTCTGTTGGTAACAACAATAGTTGGAAAGAGGCATTGGTTTCAGATCAGCAGGCTGACTAAGCCACATTATATTCAAAATAAAAAGTATTTGAATTAGCAGGAAAAAAAAAAAAAAAACTTCTTAAAAATTTAGAAAGACTATGACACAAACTAGCAAAATGGTTAAATATATTGCAAAAAATAAACTTTTTCATTGCTATACTGTCTTCTCTTGATATTACCTGAGTTACATGTAGTCCAAAAGTCAACACGTGTCATCTAGGGCCACAGTGTTTAAATGTTTCTGTGGACTCAAATGCCAAAATTGTTCTGAAATCTTGCCCTGTTTTTTGTTTAATCTTAGAAGAATCCAGAAATTTCCAGTATTTAGATTCCCAGGTACCTCTCTCCTCAGGTAAGCCACAGCTGTAAAAACCTCATTCTTAGCAACACAGAGCAGTTGAAAAGACAACAGGATATTTGCTGCTTTGGAAGTTTCTTCTCATTTCTCCTTTAACACCTTATGCCATAGCCACTGTGATTCAGTTTTTAGCTTGCTTCCTCTGATATCAGTAAGGAGCACTTCAGGAATTCCTTCCACAATCACATGAGGAGACATGACATGCATTGCTGTTGGGTCTCACAGATCAGCTGAGCGCAGGCGTAGCTCCGTGGTGGTGAGCTTGCCAGGACCTGAGGTGTACCCTGGAGACCTGCTGGTGTCAGACAATGCCTTGGACTACCTGCCCCACACAGCCCTGCTGCTAAACGCAGGTCAGACGTAGGGTGAGCTTAGCTCATCCACACCCCCTTGTATTTATGGCAAGTGTGTGTGTGCATGGGGTGGGAAGGAGGGACAGAGGAAAGATCACTGTAATAAAGACTACGGTGCTCATTATAAAATTCCCCTCAGTTTAGGGTTTCTCCTTCATTTTATGGTTGAATGCAAAATGTAAGAAGTAATTGAGGCAGGCTAGGCAGTTGTCTCCATACACCCCAGCAGCAACCAGGGCCCAGGCCAGGATTTCCATCTATAATCAATTGAGTTACAACTGCCTACCTGGACAGGTTCAGGCAGAGGAAGGAGAATATGCTTATGCTACCCTTTCTATCCGTGCTTTAATTACAAAGATAGCAGACCCAACTCACAGCCACAGGTTATTCATGAGATCTTCCAACACTGAAATGTAGACCTGCAAGAAATTTCCTGAAATACCTGTTGTGTAATAAATGAGGGCTGCTCTGAAAAATAATGCCTTCTATTTTATTATGCTGGCCCGTGACATCAGAGGCAGATTATGGTGGTTTTGCATTAGAGGTTGAGTCTTCCTACCAATATTCCACTACATGTTGTTGCGATGTGACGGATGGCAGCAAAGGAACAGTCTGACAAAATGGCGTCTGACATGGAAGAGCATGGGAAGCAAAGGTGTGTCATGGAATTGGAAAAAAAAATGGCACCCCTTGACACTTGCTGAACATTTATGGAAACCAGACAGTAGATGTCACACTGAGGAATGAGTGGCACATTTTAGCAGTGGGTCACCTCCACTGATGAAGATTTCTACAAGAACAGCATGTAGGCTCTTGTTTGTTGTTGGTGAAAATGCACAGCTAATGGTGTTTATTATGTTGAAAAATAGTATTTTGTAGCTGGGAATTGGTTCTATCAAGTAGTATTATTGTGCTATTTGTTTCTGCTGTAGTTTCCGTGAAATAAATAAAGGGCATTACTTTCAGAGCAACTTATGTAGTGTAGGGTACAGTGTGGTTGCCAGAAACTGGAAGATGATGGTGACTGGAGACAAAATTTTCCACATAAAATGTAATAAGTAACATCACAAACAGCACTTTCACAAAAGAAAATAAGCCTATGCTCAAGGTCTTCAAAATCTATAGGGAAATGGTTTCAACTGCAATTCCCAGTCAAACACAAGCCTGAAGGCATCATGAATTCAGAAAAGCTTTCCATATTTCTTGTTGAATATACTTAGGCATCTCTAATCTCCCACCAGTGCATTCTTAGATTTGGATTTCCAGCTTTCCCAGGTCCTCAGTGAGGAGGTCTTCCAGCTGTTATCATATGGGCGTGAGTTTTTGCTGAGATATTCTTAAATCTGAAGAGACTAATTTGTACAATGATATTTTTACTATTAAAGCAATATCATTAGATTCATAGAAAGTATCATAAGTACCTGCATAAACCCAAAATATCTCTGAAGAGCGGATATACGCTAATTCTTCCTTCAAAACAATAGGTATCTTTAAAAATTGACCTGAGATATGACGCATTTTCCCATGTTAAGAATTGGCAATCACACACAGATCACCTGCAGAAAGTGGGAGTGTTCAGCATCATCCAAGATCCCATCACAGATAGACATATCTTAACAGCCATAATGGGTTTAAAGTCTAGTGCACAACATGGTAAAATATAAGTATTACATTTAAGCCAAGTAAAATGTGGTATAGTGAGACTCACCGCAAGAGAGTGGGAGGGGGGAGGGGAGAATAAATAAATAACAATTTTAATTTTAGCAACTTTTCTCTTTGCTTACAACACATTTGTTTTACTCATTAGACTCCAAAAAGCCAAGGTGGCCTTTTGCCAAAAGAGGAGTTGTGAGTATTCCACCACTTTCTTTCCCTTGCACTGACTTTGCTTTCTCACACAACTATCAGTGAAAAAGAGTTCATTTATGTCACTGCCCATGAAGAAAGGCAGCCAGCAGGTGAGCTGAACATGAAAGTCTCAGCTCCCCCTGGACCGAGCACCCTCTTGGTCATTCATCTGCAGTGAAGACAGGGTGATTCCAACAGCTAGGACTCTGCATGCGGTAAGACAACCAGCAAGCACCCTTACCTTCCAACGCAGCAGGGTGGTAGGAGGAGAGGCTCCCACTACAAAGCACCAGGGGAACAGAGAAGGGCAGGCAACAAAGGTGCATTTCTCACAGGAGATGTTGTTTGATGACTTTATCTGCAGGCACCCAAGGCAGCTCCCAGTGATAAGGGAGCACAAGCTGTCTTTGTCAGGCTGTGCTGCAAGTTGTGCCAGCTGGGACTACGGCTCTGCATCTCACCCACCCAAGCACCCCTAGGAGGCTGCTTTCAGAGCAAGAGTGAGCCTTGGTAATTCAGTCACAGCTTTGCTTCAAGAACACCTTCATGTATTTTCCACGTGCCAATCCATACCACTAAATTTGTGTTCATAAATATTGCTTAAACTTTTTTACATGGCACTGCTGGACTGAAAAGTAAAGCAAAACCAAAAGCAAATGTTTTGATTTCATTATCCCTCAAAAAAAAAAAAAAAAAAAAAAAAAACACCACAACTCTAGCTCCTTAAGCTCTATAAAAACTCCTTTTCCAGACGTTACTATGCAGCTGACCAAAGGAGTTTTTCAAATCAGTGTTCAAAATTAACAAAATAAATAACAATAATAATAAAATTCACCCAGTATTTATGCAACTGAGATGGAAGAAGGAAGATTTCAAATTTGAGTTTTGCTGTTTCACACTTCTGTCTGTGCTGAAGGAAATGAAATGTTGTTTGTTCTGCACTGTGGTGGTAGCCCATTGTCTGTTGCCATACCAATTTGCCCCACCAAAGACCATTTTGTTCCATAAACAAGACCATACACACCCACACCTCTAAGGCATCTACGCACACCACTCATGGCTACAAATAAACCTACCATCTCTATCTTGTCTCTATGTAGGAGAGCACAGAGATATAAGAAAATCACATGGTTAAGGGCACATACCTTACAGATCATGGCAAGGTTACTGAGCTGAGTAAGCTTCTTATTAGTACTCTAAACATCGTATGAATTAGGCTTTTGGTGTTGTTTTATTGTTTGGGGTTTTTTTGGTTGTTGTTGTTTCATTGGTTGTTTTTTTTGTTTTGTTTTGTTTTGTTTTGTTTTGTTTGTCATTAAACAGGGTAAAGACAATCAGAAGCAAGCATCTGATCTGGAACACTTTCTTTCAACCATTAAGGCAGTAGATTGTGGCATATATGATTTTCGCTGTTTCAAGTTATCAGAGTATTCAGTATACAGAACCAAGAAAGCTATCTATTAAACTCTTCAGGATGAAAATAAGACAAAAGTTTTATGCCTAAGTCAACATTTTTCAGCATATTAATCTGGATACAAATCCCATCTGCAAAATTGAAGCATAAACAGAGGTATAAATGAATAGTTTGAAAAAGAGAAGGGGAGCAATGTGGGAGTCAGACAAGGCAGGCAATGACCTTCACAACCACTCAGATTTTGCCATGCTGCTGATTTGGGAAGGCACCTTCCTATGAGAGCAGCAGACAACCTGTTCACAAGCCAACAATCCACTCACCACCTCACCATTTTGCTTTTCAAAGCAAACTATTATACTCAGGTCTCCACAGACTTCTTTGTCGAGGACTTCTGTAGGCACCTAACTTATATGTGAGCCTCTGACCTAGGAGCAGGTGAGTCGACTGATGGTAGCTGCTCCAGGACCAAGCTAAATGGTACCTATTGACTTTATCATTTGAAAACTTAGAGATCATCATAAATCCCTTTGATGCTTTCCAGCACCATAACAAATTAAATTCATTAACATTTGCAGGCTGCCCACTGTTTTTTTAATACAATATCCTACAAAGATAAGGTATCATTCTGTGCCACCTTTAAATTCTGCATGTTCGTGTTATGAATATTTTGCAGGAGAATTTCAGGGAGTTCTTTAATCTTTCTAAAGGACGCTTTAAACTTTCAGCATAAGAATGACTTACACTGGCAGCAGAATTATTTACATGAGCAAATAGATCATGGATTCTTCTCATTTGTTCTGAAACAGTTGATGCAAGTTGATTATTCCTTCTTACTATTCAACAGAGTTAATCTTGGCATGAATTTATAAAGGCTCAACAAACTGAGCAAAAACATGAACAGCCAACTGCAAGTGAAAAAAGAAGAAGCAGTGTGGGAACTTTTCACAAGTGAATGCACTTACTTTCTGGATCATTTACTGGTTCTCAAGATGGTAAGTTCAGATTTCAACTCTCAAGAACGATTAAACATTATTTACCCTGCTGGTAGCACAGGAGATGTGAAGCCATCTTTAACTTCACATTTGCTGTCTCCAGGTCTCTTGCTTTTTTTCCCCACTTATCTTCCCTGCTTTTCCAGTTTCTCTTTGGTTGTTGGTTTTTTCTTAATCTTCTTGATGGAATCTCTGTCTCTGGACATCGCTTTAAGTGTTCCACAAATACATTATGATTATGGATTCTTGCATTAATTCTGAATGATATTTCACTACTCCTCTCACTAACTCTGAACTGAAATCACCCTCCAACTGACACTACTGGGTATTTCTCTATCACACGTTTATAGAATACTCTTGGTTTAACTTCATACATATCTGTGATTAGATTTTTCTCAGTAGAGCATGAAAACAGCAGATCTGTAGTTCTGATCTTATCAGAAAACAAGTAAACCAACAACACTCCTCCGCAAAACTCCAGATTAGCTCGATCTTAGTGAATTTTAAAAGCTTTTCAGTATGGACAAGAAAAGAACAGCTATTACTAAGAATAGTAATAGTGTGTAGTATTTATGTTAATCACACATCATAACTTAGTACAACTATTTTAAAGGATGGATGCTTCCCTATAACTCTTCCTATCTTTTTTCTCTTATTCTGCACAGACTATCTCAATTTTATTATTAGTTTAAGGAAAAACAGATGAGGTTAGTGAAACATTTTCCATGTTGCTGAATAAGTAGTCTAGGCAACACAAGAAGAATTGCAAAGTAAAGGGAATAAAGAGAAGAGTGGGCTGAATTCCTTCTCCTACTCACAATAGAAATAGGCAGAAAAGGGATCAACAGCTCCAGCAAGATGGAAGTGTCTTTCCTTCTCAACTCAGTTTAAAGAGGTCAAAAGAGTTCTAGAAATAAAATGAATAAATAAAGCAGGTGAATGTTAGAAACGCTATTTCACTGATTTTAATGAATCTCCGCATGGAACTTCAGGATCACAGTAAATCCCTTTTAAGCTCTCAGGCCTACTGCTCCTGGCAACTAAGGCTGCCCAAACACTCACCAGCAATTTAATCTCAGCACCTGAGTGACAAGGGGTTTTTTTCATTAATGCAGTAAAAATTCCACTTAGTAATCTACATTTCTTAAGCCTTTTTCAGCTCTAGGTCAGATTCGGCACAGGTCCAAGATCCCTGTAAGAGCTTAGATAATGTACCATCTTAAACAGCCAATAAATACAAAGGCAGTTTTCACTCAATACAGGTTAATAGAACAACCTAAAGAGATGTAAAAACTGCACAAGCATTTTATTTAAGCTATTCCAACAACTTTTCTCTTCTTCGTACTGGCTCCCAACAGCTTATGCAGTACGGGTTAGGAGGGTAAGTGTTCTGAAAAGGCACAGAGATCTGTAACTCTTCAATTCTGATGCTGAGGTTTTTTTTCCATACATATCTCGAGTTGGATCAGTGGCTCCATTCAGAGAGAGAACATAGCAAGAACATTGCTACTTCTGCAGTAGTTGCAGAGAGCCCAGAGCCATCATTTGTACCCCGTCGATTGCACAAAGCCCTGTATTTTGCAGTCAGATAGTTCAGGAAATTTTCTCGTAACATCATCTTCTGATCATGAGATCATTTCAGAATTATGGTGCACATTCTTTTTATGAAAATTGCCTTATATATATAAATAAACACAATCATTGAGTAACATGACTTTGTTTTATTTTTAAAGATATTTATGAGGACTCTAAAATACCTCCAGAGTAATGAATTTCTCTTGGACATGGACTTATGGAGACTTTTTGCAAACTTGGAGGAATTAAATAAGGTAAAAAGTAAAAAATTAAAAAAGTGCAACCTGTACTGAGATCAGAAACCAGCCAGCCCAATAAAAGGAGATGAGGAGCCAACACTAAGGTTTCTATTCAGATTCTACACATTCAATTGAAGATGAGTTCAAATAACTAGTCCTTCTGACATTTCTATTGAGTATTTCAGTTTGAGTGACTGGTTTCACTTCTGCAAAGTCTCCAGCAAAAGATAGCTCATTCAACAGTTGTTTCTGAAGCAAACAGGAGTTTTAGTTTCTCAGAAACAAAGTCCTTTTAAAAAGATTTGTGAAAGTGGACACCAACTACACAATCCTTACTGCATAATTAAGAACAGCAATATAACTTCAATTACAAGCTTCCCTTCTCAAATAAATGGACTTTGATATCTATTAAGCCTCTTTGATAGAGCAAGGAAAAACAAAATGACAACCACCCCACTGCAGCCTGGGTTTCCCCTGTATGGATGGAGGACTATTCCCAGCACGAAGCCAATGCTCTGCATCCATGTGCTACTCATCCCTAATCTTCCAGGAAGACTGTGAAGATGAGGCTTGGCTGCAGTGTGCTCTGGCAATTTGCTGGGAGGTCATTTCCTGAAAGTTAAAGCAGACCATAAATCCAGAATACTTTTCACATAGCTTTAGAAGTCACACAGAAGTTTTCCTTGACTTTAGAGTTACTTTAAGGGACTACAAATACCCTTAATAGCAAAGTGAATTTTGGAAGGGGCTCTTTAGCTTCGTAAGTTGAATGGCTATGGTCAATCATTCTCACAAGAACTCACGACCATATCACACATCCTAAATAAATGTCCTACTTTAAGTTCTGTCTCTTGTTATGCCCTTGCCTTAACCATTAACATCTCACTTTTTTTTTTTTTTTTTGCAAAACAAGAAGAGCAGAAAAGCTTTTCAGAGCAGAGACAATTAACCAGTGCTCAAACACATGAACTCATCTTTGCTCAGTAGTTGACCAAGAGAACATGCTTGGAAATACAAGAAAAGAGATCTTATTTGATGAATTTCACCTCATGCTTGTTGTGAGCTAAGATCATAAAAATCATCTAGCTACTAGAACTCAGATGATATGTCATTTCTGATCCCTCTCATTCTTAAAGAAGGAAATGATGTCTATTGTTGCATGTGATTTAGGAAACAAATAATACTTTGTGTTTGGTTGGAGCTTCATTGTGACTTGAGAGAATGATCTTTAATAAACTTTCCATTTTTTTCACATTTTGTTTTCATTATTAACAAGAAATTATCATTTACTGTGCATACTTGCTTAAATGAGAGTGGGCAAACGTAGGAAAAAGTATCTACTCCCAGCGCTTAATACGGCTTTTTTCATGCACTTTACTGCATGCATTTTTTCTTGACAGTAGGCTGAATCTATGAAAGAATGCATGCTGTAAAAGGTGAAAGTGAGCCCTCAATAAAATGAAAGACACATTGTCCCATAAGCAATCATGCTCCCAAACAAGGCAATGCATGCAGTCACAACAGCACTTCATAGCAGTATCACAGAGGGTGGTGATGTTTTCTTCTGATCACAGGGAAATATTAGGTAATACAATGACATAAGAAAGTTTTTCAGAAAGATGCCTGGAGAAAATGACAAGGTTGATGAAGACCTGACAAAGCCTTCAAACACATGTGATGGCCCTTATCTGGCCAGGACTGCTGTATGTTCTAACCATGGGCAACACAGAGTTTGAGCCGCTGACAGTGCACTGAACCCATACAATTCTTTCCTTATGACTGAACAAAACTTTGGCCTGAGGCTTAGCCTGGTTGTGAATTTGGGAACAAACACTGAGAGGCACATAGAGGTTAGGAACAGGCTTTCACCCACATCTGATTGACAGTGTAGGCACCCTTGGAAAACTTGCAGGGCATATGGGGTTTTCAAATGCAGTTTCTACATTTTAAAGCTTTTTACAGAATTTTCCCTCATCTCCTAGAGTACTAAACAAACTTAGACTATGAAATATGATTTCTTCTTCAAATGAATGTGAAGGCTTCAATTGTCACAGCCATCACACACAATGTTTTCCAGTAGATATCATTCATCCATTGTGATTCTCCATGTTGATTCATGTCCAGTACAGCTGTTACCATAAAGTAATTTTAAACAGAGTAATCATAATCCTCTGCCAGAGCTTTTGTCATGTGGTATTATCATGAGCACTGTGTTCAGTTTTGGGCACCTCAGTACAGCAGGGACATTGAGGTGTTGGAGCAGGTCCAAAGAAGAGCAACAAGGCTGGTGAAGGGCTTGGAGAATATGGCCTACGAGGACAGACTGAAGGAACTGAGGCTGTTTAGTCTGGGGAAAAGGAGTCTGAGGGGAGACCTTATTGCTCTCTTCCAATATCTCAAAGGTGCTTACAGTGAGAGCGGGGTTGGTCTCATCTCACTGGTGACAGGTGACAGGACAAGGGGAAATGGCCTCAAGTTACACGAGGAGAGGTTTAGATTCAATATCAGGAAAAGCTTATTTACAGAAAGGGTTGTTAAGCACTGGAATGGGCTCCCAGGGAGGTGGATGAGTCACCAACCCTGAACATGTTAAAAAACTGTTTGGATGTGGTGCTCAGGGACATGATTTAGCAGAGGGTTTTTGGTTAGTGAGGTATGGTTAGGTCATGGTTGGACTTGATGATCGTTAAGGTCTTTTCCAACCTTAGTGATTCTATGATTCTATGATGTAACTGGCTATTTGTATAGATTTATTTTATCTTCTGACTAATTAAAACACTTGATGTAATTTTCTGAAGATAATCCTGGCAACATCATGGAGATAAGTGTTAGGCCTGAAGACTGTGAAGAGGTCAGGAATGGGAAATAAAGTTATTTTTAACTGAGGAAGTTCAGTCATGCTAATTCTCTTTTTCTCCCCCTTACTTAGATAAGCCTCAGCTCTGTGGAAAATTTTTGGAAACTGTGAAGGAATATGTCAGTGAATCAGGATCACCTATGAACTTCATCTCCGCACTCAGAAAGGTAACATAATTAGAAATATTCTTGTTTAACTTCACTAGGTCCTTGCAACAGGTCATTTATCAGAGTATGCAGTGCCTTAAAGCAGTCAAGTCAGTCAAGGATATGCCAGCTGTCACAGGTAGTTTGGCCTTAGCGTCAAGTACTTCCCACCAGTAGGACATTTTTATTCATTGACATGTTTGAGGTGGTAATGGAAAGTTGCTCTGTACATGGAACACAGCATGGAAAAATATTCCCTTCCTTGGGAACCACAGCCCAGACCTTGAGAGGACTTTGTCACCAACAGAACCAAGCTTCTCTGTCTGCAGGGGAGGTTTCCCTAAATCCAGACACTGGCCCAGACTCCAGCTGTACCCTACCTCCTTCCAGTCCGTCATCTAGATCCTTCCTTTACTCCACATACCAGACCCATAAATGTATTTAAGTGAGTATATAAGAGCTCAGTGAAATACATATGTACTTTGGCCTGTGTCTGCTAAGTGAGAAGCAGGAACAGACCCAGCTATCTTGCTGCTGCCAAGACATCCAGGTCATCAACATGATACTCAAGAGAGTGAGAACAATGTTCAGGGGTTCTCCCACAAGCATTTTATTTCCTGTACAACTTCCTTATGGCCAAACAGCAGGTAATATTAATGCAGACAGGAAATCATCAAGTTTACCATGTGATAGCCAAACCTGAATTTTCTGTAGCAGTAGAGACCATAGAAAGCTTCTAGGAAAGATCCTATCTCAGAGTGCTTAGGGTTTTAAAAAGGCAAAGAGAGTCTTACCCTAATTTCCTCCGACTTCAAGTGTTTCAATCCCAGAAATAATGAGCTTTATCACTGATGTCATTCAGTATTTCTAAGAGCTAACATACTTGGAAATAAAGTGGCATATTATGCGAGGCCACATAAATCTCTTGCTCAGGCAGTGTTTTTGATCTTCAGCTTCCATATCAGTTTCACGTTGTTTATTTTTAATTTGAACAAAGTCTAAAACTGCTTCTCTGCAGAGCCGCTAGAACTGGGCTCCCATTCAGTGTTTGAACCCCTCCCCACCTTTCTTTTTTAAGTGTTATACCAATTTGAGTACTGCTAACTCACCCTTCACTCTTTTAAACTCTCCCTCTTCCACTCTCACCCTAAGTACAAGGTAATCTCAGGTAAAAGCCACATTACAAAACTAAAATCAGAATTCCTCCTTTTGTCATCACATTTTCCTTTCTTGACAAGCTTTCAAGCCTATTTTGCAGTTTTTCCAGGGTGACCTCTGCCAGACACACCAGATTTATTGCCTCAATCATACCACCACTGTCTTCTACTTGGAAAAGCTGAGACAGAGGGAAGATTTTGGCATCTACCTGAAGGTATAGTAATGGTTTTGTTCTTATTATCTCCAGCCTTCCTGTCTTTTGACAGAATTTTATCATCAGACCAGAAAAGTTCACTGGAAGCAGAACTGTGTAGACAGCATTTTACGTAAATACCTGAACTGCAGTGAATAATCATGGATATGAAGTCATCGTTCAGAGTATAACTTTCCCTTAGTCATATTTGCAATTTAGAACAGGCAAGAGTAGGAAAAAGCCAAAAGGAAAAAAAAAAAAAAAAAAAAGAGGCTGCATTTTTATAGGCAGATAATATGTACTGTCAGCCTTAAGCATTCATGTGTTCCACACATAATTCCTTGACACACTGACCTACATTTTAACCAAGTAAGCCCATAACTCAGTGAGGGGCTGAAGGACCTCAGGAGCACTGTAAGTGTTCAGTGGCATCACACAAGCAGAGAGTCATAGTGATGGGCTGGGAGGGTCAGGGCTGAGGATGATTTATGGAAATTGGCAACACTGTCATCGCACTCGTTACCCACGGATGGCCTCGCCTTCTTCACATCAACAGTGACCACAGAATCACAGAATGGCCAGGGTTGGAAGGGGTCTCAAGGATAGTAAATCTCCAACCCCCCTGCCACATGCAGGGCCATCAACTTCCCCATTCCATACTAGACCAGGCTGCTCAGGCCCCATCCAATCTGGCCTTGAACACCTCCAGGACAAGGCATCCACAGCCTCTCTGGGCAGCCTGTTCCAGCACCTCACCACTTTCACAGTAAAGAACTTCCCCCTGACATCCAACTTAAATCTTCCCTTCCTCGATATACACCGACCTCACAGCCAGAGAAGAATATCATGACTTGTTTCTCCATAAGGAATACATAATGCAAGGCAAAAAAAGAGGAGACAGAAAGCCAGGAGCACATCAGTGCATTCACAGGGCTTGAGAGCCTACAGTGAAGGAGAAGGGTGGGTTTTGGCCAGGCTGTGGCAAGAAGGCTGGTCTGCTTTGCTTACACAAGAGAATCCATTAATCCATACTCCCTCACAGAGGAAGCAGCATCCTGGATGTAAGAGCAAGCAACCACTGCAGAGACAGAATTTATGAAGAGTAAAAACAACAGAACAGGTTCTGTCTCTGCCTGAAAGCAGCAATGCATGCATGGTAGCTACAGCCTTTACATCAGCCTTACCCTCAGTAAGAAATTTGTCTTTAGTTAGCCCATCTCATTACAGCTGATGCATACAACCTCACTGCCAGAGAGCAGAGGCCTAAGAGAGGTGTCCTTTGTCTCCAGCAGTGGTGTGAGCAGGAGGAGCAGTGCAGGAGGCTGCACCTGACGGAGCTGCTGGTGGTTCCTCTGCACCGCCTGACCCGCTATCTCCTCCTCCTGAACAACATCTGGAAGAGGAGCACTGACAAAACAGAGAAAGATTCTATCTGGTCACTTGAAGAGAAAGTGGAAAAGTCCATACGTAAGTAGCTATGGTTAAGTCAAAAGTATACAACTAACAATTACTAAGTTACATGATGTTTTTGTGCTCGAGGCTGGTCTCCCCACAGAATGGGAGAATGTGCATGCCTTTCAACAGTCTTGAGTCCTTTTGTAGGAAATGATTGGTGCCACCCATGGGCCCTCTGAGCAAGGTCACAGGACTCCCACAGCAGTGACTCACTTGTGTTGGCTCAGAGTCATCCGCAGCGACATGGAAACAATTAAGAGCAGATCACAAATTGGAACAAATAAAGAAAAATCCCAAACAAAGAAGTCTTTGAGCTGGATTTATGTATGAAGAGGATTTGTTGGGGCTAATCCTTAATAGGATAAAATACCACTCACAAGGGGAATATTGTGCCAATGACCTTTCGCTAAATGACAGGGTCCTACCATGAAAAGCAGCAGATGAGCCATCAGAGCTACAACTTTTCCCTAGTTGTTATAGAAAAAGAAGGGATTGATCCAGGAAGCTTTTTGTTTGTTTATTTTCCTCTGGATTCTGCTCTAAGAAATTTGTCAATTCAGTAGGTACACAGCCAGGGTGCAGTATGTGTCTCCAGTTGGGGACTCTCAGCATGACCTCCACTGCTGATCTTTGGGCTCATCCCTGTTTTTGATAAGGTTGTAGAAGAAAACAGACAAGCTTTTTCCACTCTTTGCTTCAGAAAGATAAGGTGGTCTTTTGTCACTAAATGGTAGACTTCTGCTGGGAGAAAGGAGATGTGGATATGGGCCCACAACATTATGGGATTTCTAGGGAACAACAACAAAGGTCTTCCAGTGTTTAGGATTTGGTTACATTACGCTTAAGGTTACCTCTAAGGTAAGGAAACCAAAGACAGGAGCTGTCGGCCTCTTTACTCACAGACCTGACAGATGTTTGCCATAATTTGTTGACAAGTAAGCCAGTGACATAAAGAATAGCATCAGTTCCAGAATTTCTTCACTGGTATATATATGTGCATTATCTGAAACAACTCTTTGCAACATCATTCAACATGAAAACTTTGAAGTTAAACTGCAAGTCCATTCAAGTTTTTCCTGCAATGGCCCTCAATCAACAAAGACTGAAATCTCCATTTTTCACGTATTGAGACACTCATTCCAGTTATATTCTTCAGCCACGTCTGGCACTACTTCTCCTTAAAATGTTCTCATTATTTTCAACGGCCTTTTGATCAAACTGTACATAATGAAAATTATTTTCCTCTCACCACTTCAGACAGTGTTCAGAAAGGCAGAATTTTTTCAAGAACTTTTTAAGGCAATCGTTTAAATGAGTTTTATACAATTCCCTCACTTGCTAAGTCAGATTAATGGATAGCACTTTTGCATTCAGCAGTGAATTTAGGCCTCTTTGAATGCATAGTTTGGTACTTTGCTGACCTAAAAAGAGTTAAGTCATTGTCTCCAGTTAGGCCAGGACTCCCATCCTTTGGCTTCTACCAGAGATAATCAGTATTCATCACCTTCAAAAAGGCAGCCTATTTTTTGCCAGCCTTGGCAGTAACTGATGCTTTACATATTTCAGAGGATCTGGAAGGTAAAGTCAAGTGTTTGGACAACTTTCAGAAATTCAGGCAGCTCCATGAGGTCATAATTTGGCCTGAAGTCTGGGATCATTACAAGAGATTCTTTGTCCCAGAGGTAAGCAGAACTTTTAAGGGCGTTTTTCCTTCGGGAAGGCTTAGTTTCCAATCTATAATGCAGTCTAAAGCCAACCGATTGTCTGTATTTTGGTTGCTGTGGTGGGCTTTGCCCTCACAGGAGCAGCCACAGCCTGAACACACTAATGCTGTTGGTGAACAATCAGACTGTGCACAGTCCCCAGGATGGCAGCATGAATTGCTTTCCGCTAACATCCCAGACAGTATGACAGGATGAGCCAGGAGGACTCTCCACTGTTTGCTTTTGGGGGGCAGAGTGAAATGTGATAGATATAACCATTAATACATTTATTTTAAGCAGCAGAGTAAATAGGAAATATTTGCTTCTTCTACTCTTTATGGTAAGCCAATTTCCTATTTCTTATTCAAATATCATTTAAAGTTACCCAGCATCCATGAGAACACGTCCACCTTTCTTTTGTGGTTGCTCCCTATCCAGACAAACAGACTTTAAACAGCTTTATGGTAATATCATCAGGCGAGTCTCACCTCAAGGATTTGTCTATTCATGCACAGAGCTGAAAAAAAACATTACATTTACTCTGGAAAAGAAAAACCCAGCTTAACATTTTAGAAGATTAAACAGATTTAAGCAATAGCACTGCTGAAGAAACTCAGTCATGCTCAATTATTAGCGCTGTGGTGTACTTAGCCTGATAAATCAGTAAACATTGTCTCCATTTAACTGCTGGATTCATCCCAGTTTGGAATTGGATATGTGAGACTCCCCATTCTCTCACTGTCTTTCTCTTTTTGGTGTGTTTGAAACAAAGCTTGAGAGAGAACAACAGTGAAAACATTCTGTCTTCAGCAAGCAGACTTCTTCACGACAGGAGGCTGACACTGGCAGGTAACATCCCTATGTCCTGGTATTAGGAATCAGCTTAGCGAAATTACACTTTGTTATGGCAGTCCAGAATGAATTCTAAGATAGTATGGGCAGCTGCAGGAAAGAAGCAGCAAACATCTTGTCAGAGAAAGCCTGAGAAATAGCCAGAATGCCAAAGGGATGAGTAATGCCCATGAATGCTTATCAGCACATCTGGACATTCAATCTGCCAGGTGCTCAGGAAATCAGATTGACTCGCATGTGCCTGTCACTCAGAGGGAGAGTTACACTGTCAGGTTCAAGGATGTGGCAAAAGGACATTGGGAAGTTTAGACCGCCCTACGTAAAGTGCCCCACATGCCTGGGAACTGATATCAGGAAGCCTCACCTCTGGAACTTGAATTCCATGATGTTGCACATTATACTTAAAATGAAAAATCCAGAGATTTTCCTTTTCCATTTTGTAATTCATCTCTGCTAAGACTGCTGTTTTGATGCAAAGCTTGGAACAAGAAGGTAATATGTAAACAATAGCAAGCTGAGTGGATTCCTTTCCATCAGCAACACACTCACCAACATGCCTGCCACTAACATCACACGGAGCACAGCAGTCCCACTTCAGTGTGCTCACAGCCACCTACCACCTTGGAATAGCTGGGAGATCTCCAGACTCAGAGGCACCATTTTGTAGCAGGGCCGAGGCTGCTTATTGGGTAGCAGCTGCCTGCAAATGAGAGGAGCATTTCCTCTGTGCCTGAACAGCAAGAAGAGCCTGGGTAGTTGGATCACTTGGAGAAGAGCAGCATCTGAAAAGTGGAAGCAGCACGCAAGGGTGGCTGCAGCAGAAGTTGGCCCAGCCACTGCCTTAAAACTCCTTCTCCACCTCGACAAAAGCAGAGGTACAGACAGGGAGGTCCCAATACTTCCTGCCTCTTACTACTAGTTTCATAAAAGGAACAGTGAAGGGACAGAGCCCATTTTTCAGTGTTTTTGGTTTTCTTCCCACATGAGGAGGATTGCAGTGGCAGAGGAGAAGGTGCAGCACCAGGCATAGGGGAATCAGAGGGAAAGACTGCTGCTGGTGTGTATGGGGTGGTAGGGCAGAGGAGGAAGAAAGACACTTCTGATAGCATTCTTCCCACACTCATTGCCCTCTTGACAAGGCACCAGCATAAATGCAGTGAGGTAAGGGTGGACATCAGGCAGCAACATTTCTTTTTGCAATATGTAATCAGAAAATGGAGAGGCATGAGCATAACTCTTACCCACCAAGAAAGCCAGCTGGCTGCAAGCTGCAGTACTGAAGTGTCTGGTATCTGTCCATCTGTCTGGATGAAATATCTTTCAAGACACAACGGAAATGTAATGCTGCACAAAGAAAGAAGCACATCCTAATGTCACACCCCTGATTCAAACATATCTATTGTTAAAGTGAACTGTGCTTCTTTGAATGAAACTGTAACCACTGGCAACACAGTTTTATGTTTTCTGGCAATCTTAGAATCCAGAAGGAAATGCTAGAAAGTTTCTATTTCAAGAAACGCAGGTTCTTCATCAGAATGTTCAAGGAGCAAATACTCCTTCTGCTGTCAGCTGCTATTTAAAAATAGCACAATCAAAAATGGATGGTTAGGGGGACTGGGAGTCAAGAGAAAGTACAGTCAAAGATCAAGATCAGGCTGTCGTGTTACTAAGTGAAAGTCAGGGAAAGTCCATGAAGACAAGTTTTTAAATTGGAGAATGAAATGCCCAGGAAGAACATAAGAATTCAAGTGGCCAACAGATACGAAATTCACCATGGAAAATCTTTGAAAATGCTACCAATTGTTCCCCTTCTAAATAAATATGTATATATATATATATATACATATATATATATATATATATATATATTATTTCAAGAAAATGAAGACAAGTTACCATCCTCCTCATTTTGTTTAGGTTTGTTTTTTGGTCAAGTTTATTTGAAATTCTGCTGATCTTAACCGCAAGGTAAAGAGATCTATTAATAAAACCTAACTTCAGATATGCAAAAGATGTGATAAATTCATGAGATATCAGAAGAGGTTGAGAGAACAGTGGTAGGGTATGCAACAAATATATATTTTTTTCCTGTATAATGCTCACAAAAGCCATACACTGTATGAGCAAAGCTGTAGAAAACATCCTACCAAGTTTTTGACTTCATAGAAACTTACACAAGAGTATTTTTAAATACACATCAACAGCCCAGCTTACAGTCTTCTGAATCTCCATCGGCACATAAGATGATCCTCACGGCATTTCCTTTTCAGTAGTTACTGAAGATGCTTTGTACAATCTTAATGAAATAGGCTTTCAAGACAAAGCATTTCAGAACAAAGCAACCAAGAAAGTATTTTATCATCCTGCAAATTGCCTGGAACCAGTAGCTCTGAGCATCCCTATTTGCAGTGAAGAGTAGCTGGGCTTTTCATGCCCCCAGAGGCTCTACCAGTTTACAGACTAGACAAAGGACTGATAAAGGATAAAGCCTGCAGCACACATAGAGAATGATTTTGGAGGTTGAGTAGGATAGCAAGTTGAGGCAAAACAGGGAAATGAAAGACAAGCAGGCATAAAGGAATAAGGAGGAGCTGTAAACAAGGAAAAGATCAAAGGGCAAAACTGCAAATTCATTCATGTAGAGAGCTTTCTGGAGACTCTAAATGCCAGATTTCCCAGAGGAAGTTGCTTAAAAAATTGCTCTTCCTTCCATTAAAATATTCCCTATTATTTCTAAGCAATAACAGTGGAATTTTCACCAAGGCATGGAGATACAACTTCAAGACTTAGAAGTGTTCTCACAGACACCTGTTGTTGTATGTCTGGCATCCTCATGACCTTCCAAACAAGGAAGAAAAGAGAAGCCAACTCTCTTCTGTGTAGCTTTTGAAATGACTTTGTGAAACCATCAACTAACATTTCAACAAGGTGATAGCTTGTGCAGAAGGCTGCAGACAGGTATTCAGAGGTAGCAGAAAAGAGTGGCATTTCACTGCTTCCTTATCTCTGACATTTTCAGAAGGTTACTTATTTACTATGCAGGATTTGCTAATTTGTAGCATGCCAGCTGTTGCATTTAGAGGCACTGCAGGTGATCCACATCATTTCTATGGGCAGGCAGTTGTTTTTGCGTAACATGGTAGCCACTACAAATATTAATAGCCAAAAAAGAAAAAGTATAACACATTTAAGATTGAGAGTGCAGACTAGGAGACTAGTAGTTGTGTACTGTATTGGAAACTGTATTATTTCCTTGTTAAGTGTTCTATGAGATGCGGTGATTCCTAGATGTGCCTCAATGTAGAAACAGCAATTCCTTAAAATAATCACGCCATCACATTGACTTTTCTTAATTCCTCAGAAAGCACAAGACTTCTTGATGTCTACCTCTTTCTATTTGATGATTTCCTATCAATCACCAAAATTAAACATAACGAAAAGGTAATAACAGATTGAGAGGTATGTGATTGCATCTGTTGCTATGTTTTCTTATCTGGATAAATGAATGAACCCTGTTTCTAGATTCAGTATGTTACAGGGGAGCCACAGGCAGAACTTGCATTACTAGACCAAACATTTTCCTGATGCCGTTCTTACACACTGGATTCCTTGAGCTCAGAAGTTTCAAGAATATAAGTTTATAATGATCCTCTCATGATTCAGTCCAACCCAGAAATACAAGTATGTAAAAAAGTACCTAGCTAGTTAAGTTTACAAAGCTAAGCAGACCTATACTAAATATCAATAAGCTTAGGTTGAATTTAGAGATATTAAAATAATAGAAAAAATAATAGAAGCAGTTGCTCTGCTTTTATAGGACATACAGAAGATGTTGCTCTAGAATCATTCATTGCACAACACCATCCTACAGCAGCAGAGAGATGAAAGGAACAGAAATTCAAGGGGCTTGGTGCCTGCTGGCAAATCTCACTGAGGGTTTGCCTATATACGTATTGGTGTGTATTCTGAGTGAGGTTGTTACCCATCTGGAGACCCAACAATTCTGTCTTCTGCACATTCATGAGGGGAGACAGGGAAATGTATCTCCGAGAAATTGAGAAAATCTGATATTGAAAGGATAGGTGAAAGAGGATCTTTGAACATCTTTGTTTTCTGCCTGAGGACCTTTATTGTGTTTCTGTTGTGCCATTTCAATACAAGATGTGACCTTGACAAGAGAGTTCCAGGTACTGATGAGTTTTTCAGAGAAATAGTTTCTGATGTTGCTCTGGCAAATAAATCTCTGAACACCTTTGATGAGACACAGCACATAATTTAGGGCTGTTTATTGCCTGTACTTCACGAGCAGATGGCAGACAGCATACTAATCAACTTCATTTTCTATTCTCAGAAATACGGGGGCTCAGACACAGGCTTAACCCTTGTCTGTCCTTCCCTTGCTCCAGAGCTGCAGTCAGTTGTAAGAGAAGGTGGCTTTTGCCAAGTCTTGGACCAACCCATCACACTGGACAGACTAATACTGAAAAATGTTGATGCCATCCATGTAACAGGTACACCTCTGGGTGCATCTGAATGCTTTCAAAAAAGTTTTCTCCATGCATGATCTATGCAGTGGTTTAAGGATAATTTGCACACAAACCACCTTGAGTTGCATGGAGTACAAAAGCCGCAGCAGTAGTTGCCTTCACACTTACCATGACCTTCAGACACCCACATAGACAGCCCATATTCCCCTGCCTGAAATAGGGACTTTCACATGCACATGGGTGACTCTCAAGTATGTTCCATTCACCCCACAGGTGGCATAAAGACTCCAATGAGTTCTGTTGTGAGTCAACTGTTCTCTTACCACAAATGGAAATCATTCTTCCTAAGCCAATGCTTCCCTTCTCCTAGATCTCCAAATGCACCACCATGGGAAACTACTTCCAGTAATGTATGGCGTGCCTTTGGGTGCGGAGGGGAGGAGGACCAGCCTTCACAGAGAGTGACTTGTAAAAGTGGATGTTAACTAAGGCAGTTTCCAAAATCCAAGGTTGAGTGGGGGAGCAGGCACAAAAACAGTCAGGCCTTCTCTTTAATCTGAACTACCTCCACAAGCTTACACAGCTCAGTCTAATGCTACCAAATCCCAGGAGATTCATATATAGAAGAGAAATAAGAAATACAAACCTCCAGGCTTCGGGGCCTGACAGCCATCCTAATCCCAAGGACTAGGAGGAAAAGCTCAGGAAGCTAGAGCAGTCTGTGGAAAATCAATAAATGTGGAAAATAAACCTAGAGCATGTAAAATTTATGATAACCTTGAAACACATTCACCCAGAGTAATTAGCATTCAGCATCAATGTTAAAATGCTGATAGGAAATAGAGGTAGGCAATAAAAGGCAAATGACTAAATATGAGGTAAGCAGATGAGCACAGAGGAGAATAACCTTTGTTTAACCGTGCTCCAGACGCTGTCTGCCTGCCTGACAAACTTCACAACCAACACAGCATAAATCAAGCCAACAGGGAGGCAGCTCTGGGCTGCTGGGGAGAACAGGGCAGCAGCCCCCCACTTTGCACATCAACAGTGGGCATAAAAGCCACAGTGCTAATGGGAATAATATTTTTGTTTTTTTCCCTAGTCAGTATTCGCTGTGTTCAAACCAGAGTCCCTGTGACACAATCACAGGCAGTAGATGAAGTCAACTGCTGAAGATCAGTCCAGGATCCAGCCTCTGTCTACAGCCCTTCCCCATGCTCTGCACCAAATTGCTGGACTTCTTCACCACATATTCCTACCAGTATCCTTACAAAATTAGAGGGAGTAGTCTCCATTCCTTACTCACATTTTGCGATGTCTTGGAAACCTCAACCTAATACAGCATCCACTGGAGTGTTATACAATAAAAACAGGGATTAAAATGACTATAGGGAGCCTGCAGCTCAAATTTTCACCATTTTGCATAAAGCAATAAGCAGAACTGCCAGCATCAATGGAAAAATATTCCTTTGCAAGGAAAAAAATAAAAGAAAAAAGAAAGGATTATATATTCTCAGAAATGTGTGACCTCGGGGAATGCTGCCAGTTTATTTGCATCTCAGGGAGTGAGGTCATGTTAGAAGTGAAAAGTCAGTTAGCTTATTCTCAGGAAGCTACTTGAGCAGGGCAGTGTGGGATTGAGCCCCTGTGCCAATTAAAAATCAAAGCTCACATTTTTTATCTACATACATTAGCTTGCTGAAGGTTGATTGTATTTTGGCAAGAAACATACCTCAGTACAGGGATTAGAAATATATATGCATGTTGCAATATTGTAGAGATGCAGTTTTGGCAGCAGGCAGGATAACACTAGCCCAAAGCCTGCCACATTGCATTGAAGAGACAAGAGGCACAACACTGCACTCATGCTCTCAATGAATGCCAGGACCTTGCTCAAGAGATGCAACTTCAGATGTCTTATAGCAGGAATCCACCTCTGAAACCAGTAATATACATTCTGACTTGGAAGTCATTCTCCTTTTGTTTGACGTTTATTCTTCTCTAACATCAATTACAATTTAGTCCACTTGAATGGAAGCTTCTTTTAATGACCTTCAGCCTGACTTAAAAGTAACTTAGCTGCACAGTGATTAAGTAATTGAAACTGAGTACAAGTATCATTTCTTCACTTTTTCCCTCCCCAGTTTTCAGCCTGTGAAATGCTTTCCTAATACAGCATGAAAATAGGTATCGGCAGTGCATGGCAGTCTTCCTGCTACAAGCACAAACAGAGTCTGCCAAGGTAAGTAGCTCATCTTTTCTCCTCTGTAATTACACAACTACACTTTCCCTAGAGGAGAATCACAGCTGTGACATTTGACCAAAACAAACAAACAAACCAAAAAATGGTGTGGTGGATCACATTTTATTTGCTACAGAATTTTTACTGAACACATATCAGTTTTCTTGATTTGGTTGTTTATTTTTGGTTGTTGGTTTTGTTCTGCTTTTGTTTTGTTTTTTATCAGGGTTAATAGCAGGTCTCAGCTGTCAAAAAAACATAATTTCTGATTGCTAAAACAATTGCCATTCCATGCATAACAGGAAGGAAGATGGATAGACCCTCCAGAGAAACCAAAGATAAAACAACCCCCCATTCCTATCTGCAGTACCCAAATCAGATACCTCATCTACGCATAGTACACTCCTGCAATTTCAGACTCAGCAGATAGCGTGATTCATTCTAGTGTTACATAAATTTACCCCTCATCTTCACACATCACATTTCTACTAGCAGTGCTGTTTATAACATTTGAAATTCTGGTAGGAACCTTGCAAACCTGTGGTTTGGTTCTCTTTCATTTAGTTGTTTTTTGCCCCATCATTTAAAATTCATTCTCTAATACCTACACTGAAAACATAACTACCAGTGATAGCGATTCTCCACATAAATCGCAGTAGAGAGTCATTTCCAGGGAAAAGCAATAAGTGAACTCTTTCCATCTCCAAGCCACTGGTTCATACTTGGAATAGCTATGTCCTCAAGAAGTAGTTACCTGTTACTGAAAAGTAAAGGTGATATTTTCAAGCTGCCTTCATGCCAGGTTGCAACCACCTTATCAGTGTCTTCCAGTTTTATTTTACTACCAAGAAAACCCAGCACCAAAAGGTTCCTTCCACATGAATGCAGTAATACTATAGCATTTTGCAGAATTTAGTCTCTCTGATCCCCAGGAAAGCTATACCCTATCCAATGCTGTTTTGAATAAACTACTGTATTTCAGCTCCTAAACCTAATCTCACCACACCTTACTTGTTTTAAAACAAACTTAGCTAGTCGAGATGTCCTCAAGGCTTTGGCCATTACAATCTGCAAGGAGGAAGGACAACGATCTTGCTAAGACCAACTTGTGAGGGCCATCAGACCAAGAGTTTGAGGTAGATAAGCCATGTCACAAGGGAGACCACACTGAATGATGCCCAAAGGGCAACACTCCCATTGATTCACCCCAAGCAGAGGGCAGCTGCACTGCAGGCTACCTTGTGGATCCCTGTTGCTGATATAGGCCTGCCCCAGCCACCAGCTCCCCTCACCAGGTCCAGACCTTCCAGCCCAACATGCACCCCTCACTGCAGCATGACTCTGCATCCACTGCATGGGGAGCACATGCTCCAGGTTTTTGCCAAGTATGTATCAGAGATGTGGTGAACACCTTCCCCCACCTGCCTATCAGACCCACAGTACTTGGCAGATGTAAGAAAACACAGAACTGAAGCACTGCTCACTCAGCCCATCTGTGCAGCAGCCCTGCCTTCTGCTCTCTTCTTCCTTGTCCCTACTCCCTGAGCCACAAAAAGCTGATAGTAGAAATCTGCTAAGAGACCACCCCTGGCAGACCAGAACATACTGTACACCACCTCCTCCCTACCAGCAGTACCAGCAGGACAGAGCAACCACCCCCAGCCATTTATCCTTCAATGATGTATGTATCTCATTCAGGATAGACACACACATATAGAAACAAACTGAAGGGTCACTAACCAAAGTTATGAATCCCAGCATAGCATGATGTATAGCAGGCTGCCTTTCCTCATATTTCTACTCCTGCATCTAAGTTCAGTACTCGATGCACATTAAAACAGGAAGAGCAGCCACTGACTAAGCAAAACAAAACCCCTGCAGTGGGAAATGCACAGCCAGACCTCCAGCTTGTAATGCTGCCAAACAATTCGCTATGTTTGATCACAACAGTTCTGACAGCTCAGCTTCTGTGACCCAGATCACGTGAACTACTACAGCGAGGAGTTCAGTATTTTAAAGCCCTCTGCAGCCATCATCTACTGCCTTCAAACCTGGATGATGGAGGATCACAGAGTCACAGAACGGCCTGAGTTGAAGAGGACCATAATGATCAAGTAGTTTCAACCCCCCTACCATGAGCAGGATCACCAACCAGCAGACCAGGCTGCCCAGAGCCACATCCAGCCTGGCCTTGAATGCCTCCAGGGATGGGGCATCCACAGCCTCCTTGGGCAACCTGTTCCAGTGTGTCACCACCCTCTGTGTGAAAAACTTCATCCTAATATCTAACCTAAACCTCCCCTGTCTCAGTTTAAAACCGTTCCCCCTTGTGCTATCACTGTCCACCCTCATAAACAGGATATAGAGCTGAATGCTGTCAGCATGGTGCAGGAAAATGAAATTCGCATGAGACAGACCTCAGACGGGTCAACCATTTGTGGTGTTGATAGCACTGGAGCTGTCTTAACCACCGTAATACAGAGTGCAAGCTGCAGGGACAGCATTAAACGAATAAATACTAAACAAAAAGAGGTGAAATAGCCAGCAGCAAATGAAGAAGCAGAGCATAAAAATCCCATCTTCATACCAAAAAGGAAACCCTCAATGGACATCTCAGGCCCAGCACACAGTGATGTGCTGTGGCCTTAGTAACTGGGTCTGGGCTCTGGGTAACTTGTGCTCACTTGGGGAATTAAAAGCCTGAGTCTGAAGAGCAGCAAATGTAACTGAAGGCTCATGGGTGCTCATTTCTCTGAATTACTAGAATTTCTCAGACTGCCTAGGCTTACAGATTATTTTTCTTGTAACAGAAAACATGGATGTCACAGATAGAAAGAGCAATCTCCAATTACATGAAGTGATATGAAACCAAGAAAAGCACACTCCTCTGCTCGATAGCTGAATTTGCTGAAATTTAATAATGCCAGTACAGCTCTGATAGATGCAACAGAAGGCTACTGTGGTAACAGCACCGTTATTTCTTCCACAGAGCATTAACTTCCTGAAACTAACAGGCTTCTGACTCAACTAAATCGAAGTGATGAGCTTTGATCACAGGATGTAGGAATAAATTGGAGGGGGAGAATGAGCCACACAACAGATACATCACTCTCAGATGCCTCTTTGCTTCAGCTTGGGGAAGGCTCTTCCCAACAAGGTAAGTGTTAATATGGCCTGTTCTTTCCTAGAAAGCAGGGCAAGGAAAACACCCATGTTGGTGAGGAGAACTTGTGCACCAGAAGTCTAAAGCTCATACAAACTATTCACAAATTTCAGATTTCAAACTGTAGCTAACTCTCTAGCCACAGCTCCAGTACTTATTCCCTTTCTTCTGTAACACTGCACATTGACACCGTGGGACCAGATCAGTAAAAGCATGTACTGCCTTAATTCTCCATTAGTTTTTGCAAGGAGGCTGTTTAATGCCGTTTCTCTGAAAAGGTCATTCTTACATGTAACATCCAGGCATACTGCATAAACCACAGAATGCACAAAAAGAGAGAACAAAAATGCAGTGATGTTCTATGTATAATGGGAACCTTTTTTTACCTGACACTTTTTCACAATGTTATTATTAGCAGATTTGTCATTATGTATTATTTACTCTCAGCAAAACTGAACTCCAAAGGCTTTTCAACTTCCCTTTAAAAATGTGAACTTCTCATTAAACCATTCAATACATCACTGCAGTTCTGTGATCCATGAAGTACACACTTGCTAATCACGTTTTTTTTTTTTTTTTAAGAGATCCATGAATAGAATCACAGAACAGTTTGCATCTGCTTGCCACAACACTTTCACAGGTTACAACTGAGGGTGAAGGGTGCTCTCACTAGGCTACTTTTGGCTAAGTGCCTGAAATTAGCCAGTTAAGAGAGGAAGGCAGACTCCCTAGAGCCACTCTACATGGTCTGCCACATCTCCCACTTGCCGTGCCCAAGCGGATAATCTCCCTGAACAGGGAAGTCAACTCTTAAAGAATACTTCTAGTACCAAAAATGATTTCAGGGGAACCAACGAGGGAAACTACACAGATGAGAACTAGACTGAAAAATTTAGGAGTGCCCTTCCAACTGTTTGCATTACTCATGGTTAAATCAGCATACCTCCTTATCCCTGTTCTGACATCAAGTGAAAGTCATGAGCTCAGCCACTGCCCCTCATCCAGCTCCACCCATGTGGTGGCCTGTTTTACCCACCTGAGCTTGTTCACATCTATACATACAGATTCCAGACCAGAGGTTGTATACAGACTTACCTGATTCACCATTTTTCAGATGCAGTACACGTTCCTGCTCCTCCCCATTATGCTCATGATAGAAGTCTCTGTCACAGCTTAACGAAAAAAGAGCAGCTATGCAGGCTTCACACCAAATGGTAAACGTGGAGAACAGGAGAGCAAAACTAAGCAAACACAGCAGATCTACTCCAGGATGTAAGCTGCAAACACTTAGCCACAGCTTGGCTTCAACAGCTGTGCTCAATCCGCACTGATCCCATTCTCAGCTGCACCTGGTCACACCCTCACATCCCTGCTGCCTCCCCAGAACCTCACAGTATCTTGCAGCCGTTTCCAAAGAAAGATTTTTAAGCCCAGAAAAGCCATGCCTGTCAGATAAAGCCCTGTGCTTTGTGAGCTGTCGAAGGGGGAGTTTTTGCACTTGTGTACTTTTAGCCAGAAAGGCCATTAAGGCAGGTCTGTCTAGTTTACCAGGCAACTAAGCAGTGCTGGAGATCATTTTCTAGAGGTCAGCCCACCTCCAAAGGAGGACATGCTGGGGGAAGGCAGTACTCACACCCTAATTGTGTTCAGGGAGAGAAACTTAACAGGCTCTTACATGGTCTGAGGAGAAAGATGCCCCAGAAAGCAATCGAGGCAGAAATGAACTTCCCAACTTGAACTGCCTTTCAGAGAAGACCTCTCTCAAACTTTCTATACTGTCTAAGCAGAGATCTTAGGAAGATCTGCTTCAGTTTCTAACTGTAGTACTTGTGAATGTTCCACAACTCAGTTGCCACTTCATCATGGGACTGATTGTACATACACTGATCACCTGGGTTCTCCCTCTGCTCTTCATGCGGCTTTTGCCCAACAGCTGAACACATCCTTAATCTGAAGTCTTAGAACAAGCACCCCACCTAAGTCTTCCAGTTACACCCTTTGTCAGATCACACTGAATGCCATGTCTGACCGACAAAAGCCTTGTGCAATTACTGGGAAAAGAAAAAACAACTTTGAATTTAGCTTGATTACAGTCTCCTCATGAAAGTTTTTGCTGCAGTTTTTCACAAGTCTAAGAAATTTGAGTGTATAGCTTGCTTTTAAAAGTGTGGCTTCCCACCAGATATATCCCCCTTCTCCAAGCAGGTTGCTGTCTAAAGCAAATGATGGAAAGGTCTATTAGAAAGGTCTAATTTTTTCTTTTATTGTCATTCATCAATCCTGTAACAGGTTAGAAAACAAAAATTACATTTCAATAACATTTCATCATAGTTTATACAGAACTGGTTGGTTGATGCATGGTGTCATTTTCTCATCCAAATCCACAGCCACCTTTCAAACTGCAGAGTTTAGGAATTACAGTGCACGCTGGACTAAATTCTTTCACAATGTAAGGCACAACTACATGATCACAAGTAGTAAACACAAACACTGAAATAGAACTTAAGAATTAAACTTCAATGAAAAAGAAATAAAACCCAAACACACTCATGCAAAGTTGATCTACACCTACCAAGATGGTATGATCCAGTTTAAAAGAAGTGCAGTACTCTGTAAGTAAAACTGCATCATAAGGCTGTTATAATACATTACCTCTAAATACTGCGTAAGATCTTAAACTTTTTTCCATTTATATTTTATACAATTATGCAGAAAATAAGTTGTATGTGCCATATTCACATCCGCAACAATAAACTGATCATTAAAACTCAGGAAAGAGGCAAACCAGACAATGCAGTTTGTGGCACGCATCCATTACAGAAAACATTCATCAAGTTCACATCTCAAGTACTGAAGAAAAAAATACTCAATTAATGGTACATTTGGTGAATGAGGCTTTCCATGGCCAAACAACAATGCTGCACACAAAATTGTCTTTACTCAGCAGACAGTGATTATGAAAGCTTGTAGTTATGATTTGCCTCCTGTTCAGCAGCTAGAGTTTGCAAGACTAAAACTACAGAAGTTAAAAGAACACAACAGAGTTTACAGCAACTTGAAACTACTGGATACTTCCAAACACATAAAAAGAAAGACTTCATCGTGGTTTCTTTTTAAATTATTTTTTGGTGATAAACTTTTGCAATTTTGGCATTCACTATAACTTTTACGTAACGTGACAGTGAGCAAACCCCATTCAACTTACCTAATGTTTGCATCTTACGCTGAGAGGTAGTTCAAATGAAATCTTATGTAATAGGGGATGGGGGGGGGTTATGACTTTTTTTTGTGATTTTTCTTCTTTTCTTACAAAAGTGACAAATCCTATACAAGCAGCATTTTGGACACATAAATATAAAAAGTTCTGGTATTTGCTAACTCAGCAAGACGTTCTCCTAAACACCCCTCTTGTACCAGGAATCAAGGCTCCGCGTGATACAACAGAGCACTTTGCCATGAAGCCAACAGCAGGAGCCTGGGCCTGCCACATCTAATAGTAAGCCCTGCTCCAAGCCCTCTTTACCCAAAAAAGGCAGAAAACTGATTTAGTTAGTTAGTTAGTTTAGGTCATAGGGGGATGCAAGGTTGGAAAACATAACCACCAGGCTTCTACTTTCATCATAACACTCATCCAAGTGAGTTAGTGGGGCTTCAGTAATCTTCAATTGATCTGATACTCCTGTATCTGCTGCACAGTGAGTCCATAGTATGTGGCACACTACAGACAAAAGGCAGAGTTTATGACACTAACTAGTACCTATTTGTTATTGTGATCATAAGACGCATCTAATGCTCTCTCTAAAGATGCAAAGCTCTTTGTTCAGTGCCCCTTAAAAACAAAAAATAAAAAGTGAAAAACTGAGTTTCTGTGGAGGGATTTCATTATCCAATTATTGCTGGTTTTGCAAAGTACACCATTTACTGCTTTTTGAGAGGGGCTGTTGTTAGCCAATAATTTCAGACTTATCCTAGAAGAGACAGTGAGGTCAATACTTCATAAATGAAGAACTGAACAACTGGCAAAAACCTTGAAAATATATAAAATTCACGTATTCTCATTTTATAATCTTAAAATGAAGTTCTACAAAGACAACGTGTGCGTGACTACACGAATTTTCTTGTTACATGTGCTCTCAGATGATCTTGCTTTTGGTACACAGTAATTATGAGTGCAATTCTCCTTACATAGCAAGGGGCCAAATGTAATCCAGTGAAAAGTCCAGCTGAAGATAAACCTTCTGTCCACTGATTACAGCTAACACATGCAATGCCAACAGTGCTATTCCACTTACTCCAGATTATATTCAGTTAGACAGCAAAAGTGCATAGTGCAAATGACAGTGTTATTTCCTAGTCCCACAAGAATGTGTGTGGAAAGGTGGTACCCTGGAGGAGTAATTTATCAGTTTTAGCATTCTTAAACTACTGTGTCATCCTTCCTGGCAGAGTTTATGCTCTCTTTGAACTTCAGCAGTTTTCTGTCTGACACTGACTATTGGTCATAAATTTTTAAGTTTTGTAAAAAAACATTTGCTACAACTTTCCATTTAACTGGCATTTAACAATCCAGAAAAATACTTGAGTTTTCCAGGTCCCCTCTTCAGGAATGTCATTTTTCTTACCTCTAGAATCTGAGGTTCAATTATTCTTGCTAATGTAATACAAACACAACAAGGTTACTTTGTTCTCCCAAATACCCTTTTTCCTCCACTAAGAAAAGCTCCCTAGTGAGGATTCACAAATAATCCTGATGGTTCCAAAACCAACAAAAATATTCATTGCTCTTGTAAGCCTAGTGCTCCACACTCCACAACAACTTGGTTACTTAACACCTTTCAAAAACAGAAGAAAAAAAACTGCACTTTAAGCTAAAACACTGCTGGAAGCAGCAGCAAAATTTCCCTTCGTCTCCTCATCTGCAGACAGCAAGTTTTCCTACTGTGACTCTGTTTTATTTTCTTTGTTAAATTGCTGTAGAAAGAGGAAGGTCACTGGAGGGAAGAAATACCTAGGGAGAAGAAACAACAGTGAAGCATATCCAGCTAAGATCAAAAGCCTGCAATCGAGCCTCACAATGCAATCTGCCTCCACAGGGACTGCAGTGTAGAAATATGAAGCATGTATTGCTGACATAAGGCTGGAATAAAAACAGTATGATTTGGTATTTTAGAGGCAACAACCCCAAGGGATCATGGCTGTTTGATTAGAAAGAGATGCAGTGCCTTTAAAAAGTTAAAAGAACCTTTCCCCATCCTTAACACCACCATGCTTTATACTTTTTCAATTGTTTCCACAGATTGCCTCAGCCCATGCAGCAGCTGGTGTTTCACATTCTGCTCCCACAAAAGATTCTGAGGCTTAATCCAGTTTCAGGGAACAAAATCCCACAGCTCACTGTCACATTCCTGATGCCACAGTAATAGCTGGCAATCAAAGGCAGTTTGAGGATCCCACATACCTACTTCTGCAAGCATATATTTTACCATTTTTTCCCTCCGCATCTCGCTTCACTATAGCTTCTCCTCAGTGAATACGAGCAACGAGGTTCTTGCTAAAGGCTAAAGCAAATCACTCCATGTCCTCTGGTTCCCATGTTCAAGTTTCTTCTGCCAATTTTTTTCTGTTTTTGTAGTTAGAAAAATCAGTGCACTCAACTACTTTGTCCAGAGTCCTTTAACTCTGTGCAGTGAAACTTACCAGTCTTTTTACTAGGCTTTTTCCTATTATTTCATTTTTAAAGCAGTGCAACAATAATAACAAAAAAAGCATATTCCTACTGAAAACACATCCATCAAAGTGACAGAACCTGTGAGCAGATTTACAAATACAGAGCTTTTCAACTTCCAGTTTTCCTTATAATAATAATAATCCTCATAGGTCATTTTCCCAAGCTTGAGCACAGGTTCCAACCTGAAAGCCAGGCTGACAGCATTATATGGTCCATCAATTCATCAGTGATTACAGATCTGCACTTAGCAAAAGCATAGGAGCATAAGATTTAGCATGAAGACACTAATGTACTCCAGTGAATAGCTGTAGAACTCCCAACTTTGCTGTAGATCAGTCCTAAAGCATGAAGGCTTCTGCCCCACTGTTCCTCCTGATTTTAACAATTCATTTTTCTGCAAATATGTATTTCAAAAACATTTATGTCCCCTCAAAAAGTCACTGTGTCATCAAAAAGCAACCAAAATAAAAAAGAAACAGCTGGTTTCACCCCAAAAATGAGGAGCTCCACATCAAGAGTTATCCTGTGGTCAACCAAACACACTGCTTCAGCAGCCAGCTGAGTGAGGTGACTTCACTCATCTTTATACAAAAGAATTGCAAAAGGTTAAACCAAGAACAACTCTATTAGAACTTCTACTATTTTCTCCTTACTGTAGAGCCATCTCCTTAGGTTTCAAACGTCCCCATACAAAAGTAAAACATCTGAACACAAGTGAGTCTTTTAACCACTTCCCCTGCTCTCCTGAGAGATTTCCATCTTCATCTACCACATACATTTTGTCCTTCATGCAGCTGTGGGAAGCTTTGCCCTTCACTCTTAAAATCCCTTCAGTTTAATGTGTTTGCCCTTTGCCCTGAAAGCAGCACCAGGCTCCATCTGTTTCACAACCACACCTACACTAGAGCAAGACTCCAATCTCTTTAACTTTGCCAGATTTCTGAAGTCACCTGTCACAAAAAGGAAGGCTTCAAAGCAAACATTCTGGATTCAATTAACAGAGTTAACTCAATAAATAAATAGAAGAATTAGAGGCAAAATTCTGCTCTTACTTTCTATTCAAACAATTCTTGTTTTGAACAGTTGCAATAACAAGGAGATGCAGCAAGTCCAGAAGATCTGTTCATATGGAGTCACTGCAGCAACAGTTTCTTTCAAGCAAGCAACTCTCAAATTCAAACTAGAAAAGTTGGTAAGTATTTCACGTCATCATGCTTTTATTGCAAGCCCTTTTATAGTTGTGAGAACCAGTTAAATAACTCAGCTGGCTTTTGGGAAATAATAAAACTTGTTGAGAAAGAATCCTTGAGGATGAAAATTCGGAACTAGGTAACTACATAAGAAATATAGATCACTATTGGGGAAGAGGGATTAAGAAGTCTTTTCATTTCAGAGTCAGGACTGGACATTTTTCGCAAAAGTCTCTTCTTCATTCACATACAGAACTGTGAGTACATAAAATTAAACAAACCTACCTAAGGATGGCTAACTGTCCACCACGGTAACAGAATTTGTTTCTTTACCTCAGGAGGCAAGGAGTAGAGGAACTGAGGACCTATTCCTTATCTCCAAATAGCCAGCACAAATTTTTAAGACAGAGAATGGCTTGGGTTGTAAGGAATTTATTAGAGTACTCAAGACAAAGGGGATCTAAGTATCACAAGAGAAAACCTTAGCTCAGAAGAAATAATATTAATAGTTTTGAAGCCAAATGTCAGATACTTATTTCAAAGAGAGGCACAGTTAGACACAGGCAGGAAAAAAACACAAGTGTAGAGAAAAACACAAGAAAAAGATTTGGAATTTACATGAACACATCAGGAAACCTCCATTGCTAGTACAGAAAAGTAAAATCTGAACAAAGGGTGGTAAAACACCAGAAGAGATTGCCCAGAGAATCTGTGGCTGCCCCATCAGTGGGAATGTTCAAAGTCAGGTCAAATGGGACTTTGAGCAACCTGTCCATTGCAAGGGGGTTGGAGTAGTTATCTTTAAAGGCCCCTTTCAACCCAAGCAATTCAATGAATCTATGATCTAAACCTGTATATATCTACCTGCTCATTTAGAGCTGTTTGGTTTAAAGCTAAGCCAGCACCAGGAGATTTGCATAAGCAGAATAAATCATAGAACTAGAATACAATTTAAGAACCCTCAGCAACAGGGGACAGATGGAACAATGGAAAAACGAGGTCTGCTGAGAGTACCAGGAGTTCAGCTTTTTCCACCAAAGGTGAAGGAAGAGACAGGAGAAAAGTTCAGCTTAACTGTAGCACCCTCTGAAGAGAGTTTTCCTTAGTAGGATTTCTAGTGTGGAATTTCAGGATATGCCTCAGAACCACAAGGACTTCCTGGAGCTTCTAGAGTATGGGTATGGTGACAAATGGACTACAGGTTATCTGCACTGTTTGTTTTTTAAAACATGCATATAAAGGGTTTCTGAAATATTAAAATCAATTCATCAAATATGTAAAAGTGAAATCAGTCCATGTGGGAGAGCTGCGTGTAATGTTCCTACAGTGCCCACTAAACTTGGCCTCATCATTTGTTCACGTATACACACACAAACTATGCGGTACAGTATGCATAAAGACATTCCAGTATCCAAGTCCTGTAGTTTAGTAAGAACTCAGGTGCTGATATTACAACTTCTGAGCAGGCAAATAAAACTGAGAGTTGATTCCAGCAATTTAACCCTCACTGTGGAGTTCAAACTTTAAAGAGAAAAGTACTAAAACCAGAAAGAAAGAAAACAGAACCACAAGGAGTTATAAAGACCATCAGATACACAATCAAATGCAACAATGAGTTATGCTATTACAGCAACATTTGATACACAAAATCCTCACAAGTTTTTGCATCTTCCTTTTCCATTGAAGGAAACAAGAATAAACTGCAGTATCACATAAACGCATTTTTCTTGAAAAAAAAAATAAAGATAAAAAAATACATTGTTACTCCTCTGTTTAAACTTTATTTACAAATAACTGGGTATTTCTAATCTAGACATAGAAGCTCTTTCCAGGATAGACAGCAATAAGCTTGAGTGATCTGAGCCCATATCTCACAAAAAATACAATAGTTTTACTTGGTATCAATAAACATTTTAAAATATACTAAATTTTGCCAAATGTTACAATCATTGTCCAAACTGAGTAGTAGTCTGAGTGCTGAATGAAGTGCATCAACAGAAATAATAAATTTTAGTGTAACATTTCTTTGTCACTCACACCAGTTATCCTTGCAAGTCATTAAAGCAAGTATCACAGACTCGGACAGGCTTCTTAGAAGAAGGAGTTAAGGCATTCTTTGCTGAGCATTCAGCACAAAAGATATTTCCACACTGTCTACAGTGATGCTGTGAAAGAGAAAACAAACATATATTGTGAATATTGATTACAGTTCTATGGACACAGATCGTTAAGAAAGATCATTATCATGTCAACTCAACTCTCTAATGTCTCAGAAGTTTGAATTTTTAAATAGTAGTTACACAGCACCCTGAGTTTATATCTACATAGAAGAGCACAGAATAAATCCTTTCTAAAGGATATAGGAGTAAAATCATTAGAAGTGCTACTTCACTGAGTGCTGTCTATGCTAGTTTCAGAACTGAAGTGGTTGCAACTAATTCTCCTTATTAATTTCTCCTCTTTAACTTTTTTTGGCTGCATAAAACATGTTCTTCCTTCCTGTTTTCACATTAGGGATGTACCCTTGAATAAAACAACCCAGCAGCCTTTGTTCAAAGTCTTCCCAGAAGATATGACAACACACAACACAGGACAGGGAGAACCACCTAACAAGAAGACAGGAAGCACTGCAAAATAAACCTCATGAATATCCCTCAATTACTTCACTGCCAAGTCACTCGATGGAGGAATATAACGATAATCTCTGGATGAAAAGTGGACCCTGACAATGAAGGGGTGCTAACACCTTACCTGACTACAGCTGTTTCACAGACCTAGAACACAGGCAGTTGTTTGTTCTGTTCTGTGTCTGGCTAGAGCTTACAAAAGATACAGTCACAAAGCTCACGTTAATGTCTCATATTTTCACACATATCCAGTTTCAACAAATTCACCTTACTTTTTCCACTTGTAAGTCTAGTCCAGAATATAAGAAAGTTTACAGTCCAGGTTATAAGAAAGTTTTACTGTAACTAGTCGCATAACAGTACAATTTTGCTTGCTTGGGGCCTGAAATCTTTAACGCTATTTATAAATAAATGTTTTTAAAATAGCAAGCATGAATACAGTAAGCCCCACAAACATTACCTTTAGTATTTAAGGCATCAGAAGCCTCTGTATTCCGTGACATCTCAAATATCACAACACTTTTAAAGCCATTTTCTAAAGTGTATCACATGTAAAATACCTTGAAAGCAACAGAAAAAAGAAAATCCTCACAGGAAAACACTCTTACCCTTCTCACTGTCACTGAAAAGCCTTTCCCACAGGCCATACAATTCTGTACCTCGTTGTCTTCTGCCCATTTCCTGTTGAGAGCTTGGGTGTGTTTGATCTATTTAAATTTACAAAAATAACAAAAATCAAAATGCATGTCTAATGCCTCCTAATTTGCTCAATTTCACTGCACGTACTATGCAGTAAAAACACCAGTTCTGACGTAACACTGACAGCTCATGCTTTCTCCAAAATAAAACTTTGAGCAGAGTTAACCTACAGAAAGCAGTATTGTTCTTGCGCACCACAGGAACACCTCAATCACTGTGGAAAGGTCACCCACCATGAATGTGACACAACCTTCGTTTCTCACAAGCCCCACAGACAGAATCAACAGGTTTAATTGCTTAAAATCAAACTATACCTGTAACGACTGGTTTTCTCGGCCTAGCTCCTGCATTGCAGCAGTAGTGTTGTCCAGCTTTTTCTTCATTTCTACAAGTTTGGATTGAAGCTTTTCAATTTCTCCCTCACTTTTTATACACCTAAGGATAAACAGTGAGTAGTCAATTCAAAGCATGAGGAGATGTACTCTGCCTCCTGTAAGCAGGTTCTCGTGATTGAGAAGAATAGTTAGTCTTGTAAAATCCATCTGAAAATATACTTGCTGTGAAAAGTTCTTGGATGCCTTGGCTGGAAAAAATATTCTGTTGCAACAACCAATTTCAGATTATCTGGCATTGTTCCCAGATATCTGGGGCTTATAAATACCTGAGGCTATTCCCAGCACCACAGACAGTACTGAATGCAGCCCATCAATCAGCATCCTCCGATAAACATCACTGTGCTACAGGACACTCTCACAAAGCATCTGTAGTAGATCAGCTCAAATAACAGAGGAGAAAAGTAACCTTTTCTTTTAGTAAGGCCACTTCCTATCAGCTAAAATGCACCTAATTGGTGAAAGCTATATTTTAAAACGTGTTTTTCTACTAAGCTGTAAAATGGTAACTGGATGAGCTCAGCATAGTATGAACTGTCAAAGAAAAAGAATCTGATTTGAACCGATTCCATTTTTTTCCCCAAAGCTTACTGCTCAAAAGCCAATCAACAAGCTTGACAGGAGAGAGAAATTTTTCCATTCTGCCTTCACCTAACATCTCAGGAAATAGATGGAAAAGTTTTACAGTCTTGCAGATGTTGCAACCCTTGTAATCTCTGCTTTCAGATAACTCCTGCTACCTTGCAGGCCTCCTGCTGTCTGAAGGAAAGCAGATCTGCTTGCATAGTTCTTAATAAATGCACGAAAGAAATTAAAAAATAACTGGAGAAATGAAGATTTTAGTTTTTCAGGAGTAAGTAATGACTAGTGTTAATCCTAGAAAGTCTGTCTAAGCCCATTATATGTTCAGTCTTTTGACATGAGTAGTAGACAAACCTAGAAATGTAAGCATATTCTGTGTTATAGGAGGTTCTAAGGAGCTGGGTCTAGCTGTCAAGATTACTAGTGCATTGCTACTATTACTAGTGCATCTGTTCTGATTCATTCAAAACAGAGGAGCCTCAGAGTGATGAAGAAGGGAAGGATTCTTATTTAAGAGAGGCTTGTTCTTGCCAGCCTTTGTGAGGGTCACGCAACAGATGAGATAAGAAGCCACAACCTACACACCTCAAAGTTCAGAGGCACCCAATAGATTTAGAAGGCTCCTGAGGATTGGCATAAATCTTTAAGCACAGGCACAAATATGGTACTCTGGTGAAGTAAGGATCTGATAAGCCTGCTTGATTTCCTGCAATATAATCATCCTGTCAAACAGAGAGAGTACAGTTTTTTCACAATGCTTGCTGTGCTTTGGCAGGAACAATAGAAGATTTCACTCTCAAAAGCCACAGCCAATAGCCCAGGTACAAGCAGCAACTACGGATTTAAATGCAGAATCCTGAATCAACTGAAAGAAGCTTTGGTGTAAGGCTAACCATTTCCTAAATTACACTTCCACATCATCATGATCCCCCTCCTTACCTCTCTAGCAATGCTCTTCTCTCATCCTGATTATTCTGCACAGTTGCTTCCAAGACAGCAATGTCCCCACGTAAATCATCTGTCTGTTTCTCCAGTTCGCTAACTCGTCTCTGACTGCTCTGCCACTCTTTCTTCATGGTAGCCAGGTTTTCATTCAGAGCTGTGACCTGCATGGTCAGCTTGGTCTCCTTCTCCTCATGTTTCCGGTTTTCTTCTTCTTTCTCTTTCACCTCTGAATGCTAAATAAGGCACAAAAAACATGAAAAACAACCTTCCAAGCATTTTTCCATATTCCATACATTTAATTGAGGCAAAAAAATGTTTACCATACTAGAATTGTTACTTTTATCCAATGAAACTTATTAAAAGATTGTCTCCTACTGAATTTTCCCACACTATTAAATGCTTCGAAGATCTCTGATCTTGTCATTTAAAAATTAGCGTTACAACTCTCTGCTTCCTCTCAGCTCCAAAACAATCCAAAGGCACGTTCACAAAACAGTCTTACAGTCTCTCCATACTAACCAGTTTGGCTTCAACTTCAGCACATTCTTTCTTCAGTTCCTCTTCTCTCTTTTTCAGCTGATCTTTAACAGCTTGTTGGTTTTTCTTCTCCTGTTCCAGAGTTGAATTCATATTATCTATCTTGCCCTGAAGCTCTAATTTCTGTTGAATCAGCAGCTGTTTCGCATCCTTGAGATTCGCCACCTCCTGTCGGGATGAAGAGCATAAAGTTAGAGAGGCAACATTTGAAATGCTGTTTACTTAAATTCAAAAGCAGTAACTGCTTTCCAGTAAGAGCACAGCAGCATTTTTTCATCTTATCACTGGAAAACAGGATGGTTTTATGGCACAAGTGTCAGTGATTGTGTCAGTTTTTGATGTCCGTGGTGAAAGATTTTAAGCTTACACATACATTAATAACACTCAATTATTTTAAATGAATTTAATGCATTATTTTTTTCTACTAGAATAGCAGAAGCTGTGTTGGATTATTTTCTAAAACTCATTGAAAAGAAATGCCCTTTGTCATTTTCCAGAGTCAGTTGTAAAATTTACTTCACATTGTTCCTTGGTTGCACTGATCACCTTAAAAATGTAAGAATGACAAGGTAAAAACCCAACATCAATGGAAAACAGCTGGTTTGTCTTCATCTTAAACGTGTAAACATATTCACTAAGTTTTAAGCAAGCATAATGATAAATCTGGTTCTATACATTAGTTTGTTTCTCTGTATTAAAAAATAAATAAATCCAGAAGTAGAATATATAGTTGAATTTACAGGAATCCTTTTCCTTAAAATTGCACAGCCAAGCACGCAGATAGTAATAGCTTAATAGAGACTGTCAGCTTTATTATGGAAATAAATCAAAATTTCCACCACAAGTTAAAATCAATCCAAAGACAGCAAGAAAATATAACCCGAGGACAAGTGGATGTCCTATAAAAAATACATCTATACATTCCCTGGCAAGAGATGGAAAATAGAGTAAGGGATTATAGGAAACAATTTCTGTTTTAGTCTGACTCCTAGAATACAGATCAAGAGATAAACATGAAGCTGACAATGGTGTACACAATTATGTATAAGTTTTCTCTTTTAAAGCAGATTTCATGAAGTGATGACAATTACAATAAGCATTCTCCAAACCCAAGAAATTGCTGGGCATAGACTGCTTGACAGTAACAAATCACAGATTTCTATCTAAACTGAAAAGACCACTTTTTAAACACTAGAGAACAAAAGAACATCTGAAATTTAACTTCATTTCATGAAGTTAATTTTCATGAAATTTAACCACATTACTTCCGTTATATTAGTATACAGGTGGAGTTCCTGTCCTCGTGCAGCAACTTAAATGCTGTATGTTTAACAGATGTTAATATAATTACTTACAGTATCACATGGAAAGTACACCTTTTAGGAGTTTCATTTCTAAAGAGACTAACATGAGTAGAACGTAGCAATAAGTCAGCTTTTCTCAAGACTAAAAATTATTTATTTGATATCTCCAGGTTTTTACCCTTTAAACTGCTCATTTGATTGTCCTGATTTTGGAAATGAGTCAGCCTTTAATGAGGCTCCTGACATTGTTTTTTCTTCCACAGTATGACTCTTCAAGAAAATTTAAAAACCACATCACATCAAGGGAGCTGGAAGCACTACCACACATACTTGAGAAGTATTAGATGTGCCTAGAATATCTGGGAAAATTTATATTCATTATACTTTTGGACATCTTTTCTGCACTTCAGCTTGTCAAGCAAGGATATTCACAATGAATCCACAGTGAACTGGAAAAAAAGGCAAGATGTGCACATTCTGCCTATTCCTGAAACTAACACAAGTTTCGTGTCTACCTGGCCAAGAACAGCAGGCACCAGTGCTCCTGGATTACCACTAATCAAGTCTGCATTGCTCAGGAACCTCAGTGAAATCTTTGCTTTGGTTCCCTTACCTGCAATCTTACCATCTTTGTAAAGCCATTCCAGATAACATCTACTGAGTAGGCACATATTTCTTATCAGATAACCAACCATATGAAGACTCAGTTTGTCTCAATATACCTTCTCAAATTCTTGCTTGCAGATTCTAAGCTCTTCGCTCAGCTTGGCACTTTCTTTTTCAAGTCTATTCCTTATTTCCTGGAGCTCTGTTGTTTTACATTTTTCATTAGCTAAGTCTTTTTCTTTCAAAATCTTGAAGAGAAATAATAAATACATAAAAAAATATTAAAAAGGCACTAAAGAAGCGATTTCCAAATTCACTCAGAGAAAAAAATAGTTCAGAACCCAAACCAATTGATTGCAAAAGCTCCAAGTAGGAAAACAATTGCCACATAACTGTATCTCCATCCACGATTAGTAGTGGAAACAATTAGCAGCATATTTACTGTTTTAGGTTTAAAACTAATAATGTTTTCCTGCATGTCTAGCCACTTAGTTCAAATTAACAGCTTATTTTAGAGCAAATTCACTCCAACTGTCTGTTAGCAGTTTTTGCACCACAGATTCAGTAAAATCGCTGTTGCTATGCTCTGCAACAGTGCCATGCCCCCAGAATAACCCTTGTTTAGAAATCCAGCAGGAATTAATGGAAAGGAGATGGCAGGGGAAGTCTCTGAGTGTCTGTGAGAAGACTTCAAAAGACAGAGACATTTACCCTCTCATTCTGAAGATCCTGTAGCATTTTGGTCTTCTCGCCCAGTTGCTGCTCCTTCTTTGATGCATCCTGTTCCAGCGTTGACTTGGCTTTCTTCAGCTCCTGAATCTGCTGATTATTGCTGGCAATTCGATTTCTGCTGGAAACTAATTCTTCCTGAGCAAGAGCCAGTTTTTCTTCTGTGGACTAATTACAAAGACAGCTCTGCAGATTACCCAGCATGTACAAGAGCTTCAGATACTTGACACTCATCTAATCATTTTCCACTGGGAAAAACTGTCACCTACCATGCAATGCTTCATTTCAAAGGTTGACAAAATATAACTACAGGAACTTCTAGGTCATGAGTTACCCCTGGTAAAAAGAAACTACCCAGAAACGTTTCCATCAATAATACCTTACCATACATATTCCAGTTTGCACCCTTCCACAGACAAAACACAAAAGCATATGAAAGTGCAAAGAAGGAAGGGTGATTGTTTGATGAAAAGAGAATGAGTTTGACTTTGTTTACACAAACTGAGTTTACTCTCAGGCTAAATCAACCACATTGTAACTCTATACAGCTGTTACCTAAGTGGCACTGAAGCCATAACATGAAGTTTTCAGAAGTCATCCAGTATTCCTTTTTTCCAGTGCCTTAAGGAAGCTAGCACTAAAACAGCCACAAATTTTTATTAGAACCCTGAAGTGCAATGTACAACCCAAGAAGTGCTAATATTGGAACAAAATGCTTAGTAGTATCAGCTTCATCAGCATTTCAAACAAAAAATGTAATCTTCCATTCAAAATCTATTACAGACTGTAATTTTATTTGCTCATTTATTATTCAGTACTCCCCATTACACAGAAAACAAATTTGGATGTCTCTCCATATTTTGGTCACAGAAACTCAAGCAATAACCTAAAACTTGCTCCCAAGACTCATTCTATTCACTCACAGCAAAGTCAAACTTAGGAGCTCCTCTTAATTTACTATTCTCAAAGTGTTGTTCTTGGGTTTTTTTGAGCCTTTGGCTTAGGCATATGTTAGCTAACACGCAGAAGCGTGTTCTTTCAAAACAAAGCAATAAGAAATAAAATTTAAAAACTCATCTTCTACACCACTAAAATCTAGCTACTTTCTGGAAATATTTGATGTGAAGATACAGTGTGAGGTGGGGAAATTTATTATTAGTAAGCCATTTATTACCTTTAGTGCACCACTAAGGATTTCAATTATCATAATTACCTATTTTTGCTGATACTCTTCTTTCTAAATCCTAATTAAACTCCTTGTACTTATTGTTCCTTTTAAAAACCACTGAACTAAAACAACTTTGACTTAATTATACATCCGCTTTAGCAGCTCTCATCTTCATTTAAATACAAATCGATTTCTGATCTTTCCTAACCCTAATTTGCAGAGTCTGAAGCATTTTGCTGGAAAAAATCAGACAGTGATGGAACACTGCCAGCATTCAGCCTACTCTGCATGGTACTATACACAAACGTTTGTGTAATTCAGTAGTCTGTAATATAAGAGAGTCTAAATTTCAAGCACACAGCATACTATAGCTCCCATACAGCAAGTGACTTTTAATTGTGCTACGATTAGTAATAACACTACTGAGCTTAACTGGGACACCAGTTAATATAACTTTACCAGTCAATTCATCTTCTATTTATCTGTGCCATTCTTTCTGCTTTGCTCAAAAACCCCTCACAGCACCCTTTGGAAACAAGCAGAGATCTGACATACAGCTAATCATTCCAGTTATCCTGGTTCAGTCTCCATCAAGACTGTAGTTCAGCCTGATTCTTTTGGGCTGCTGAGGAGCTCACATCTCTAACGTAAAATCACTTCTCACAACATCTGATGCTATTCACCTTCATTATTCAGTTTTGGCATCATTTCCAGAAAACAACAGGTGTGCTTCCAACACGTCATGAGATTGCTCTTTAGTAGGACAAAGAAAACAAAATGCTAGGAAAATGTACAGAACAAAAGGCAACCTGCATTTATTAGTGTGAATAAAAACAGATGTCAGTTTGGCTGGTATAGCTAAAAAGTCATCTCAGATTGATCTTGTACAACTAGGGCTGTACTGCAAGAACTAGCTGGGTCCCATGACCTGGATTCATCCCAAGACAGGTGCACAGATGAGCCAGTTTGGTCTGTGTGCCCCTCTCCTCCCTCCCTACCCAAAGAAGGGGCATGCAGTTTCTCACTGATGTTAACCTAATGTTACTTCATGTCTTCAGCAGTAGGATTAGACTGACTGTAGGCAACGTCTCCTGACTTACAGACCTGAGGTTTGGCACTACAGATACTCTCCCAGAACATCCGCTGAAGACACACAGGCAGCAATGCCAATATTGGAGGCAAAGAAGCATTCTTTTGAGAAGGCAGAAGAAACCAGGATCAACTACAAAAAGCACTGATGCCAAGACTGGAGAAGATTTGGCAGAGTTCAGGAGAGCAGAACAGAGTATGTTTGCACTAACTCAAAACAAAGGAAGAAGTACTAGTTATGCATTTTCTTTAACTCTTGTAAATAGGCATTTCCAGAAAAAAAAGAAAATAGAATCCCATTTATATATATATATATATATATATATGCACATATATATAAACATAAAGTATAAATAGTGATATATTAAAAAACCATAGCTTTTACAGGCACTATAATCATGCCTGATTTCTTTTTTCAGAGACAAAAACACGAGTTTATTTACTGCTATAAAGATGCCTTATTTAAACTAAACTAAACTTGCAACACACAGTATCCATAACATCATTCATTGTAGAATTTCCTACATTTCTCACTTTCTCTCTGTCCAATAGCTCCAAAGTTTGCATCTGCCTAAAACTACATAAACTATTTTCTATTTCTTTCAATCAGAAACTGCAGTTTTAAGGTGTTGTTCCTCATTCTGTGCTGACAGAATGCACAGAATAGACTGCTGTATGGGAGCTGCACTCTCCTGCCATGCTGCATCCCCAGCTGCAAAGCTTCACATGAGTGTTTCCTACTTTCTGCCACAGGGTAGCCGGGCAGCTCTCAGCCACCAGCCTGCAGTGACATGTAAGCCACAAGCCAGCAGATGGTGCTCTGTGTACAGCCAGCTACTGCCATCCCCTCCCTGGAAGCCAGCTCACATCACCTGCTGTGCTTCACAGCCTTTTTTGATCTACCTTCACATCCAGGAATTCTGGCCTCACCAACAGCACGATGCTACACGAATTCAGAATATTTAAGCTTTGACTTCTGTTTTTTTTTTGAACTAAAGCAAGCCTAGCAATGCTGGCATTTTCCAAAACAGCCTAGCCATTCCTGGGCAAAACTGGGCTTCAAACTATGCTGACTAAACATAGCTGTGGAACTATGAGAGCTCATATCTCTACCAAAAATCCTGCATAAGTCACCTAAAGTTACCTCATAAACAGGTTTTAAAAGCTTCAGCTACTGCCTACTAATAATATCACGTCCACTCTGAACCCTAGGGCCTCCTATCAGCATTCATTCTAAACTACCCAAAAATTCCTAGCTGTGGCTCAAATCTTAACTAAGCAAATCCTCTAAGTCTAAACAAATCACAGATAACTGATGTGGAACCAGACTGTGAAATTCTGCCATATGGTTCTTCTGACTTAAGCGATATTTACATATTCAGCTCCCAAAACAAACCTTCCTGAACGCTTCCTTCTTTGCAGTCTTTGCAGACAAGTTATCACTACTACTTTCATTTAATATTGCAGTGAGACAGCACAGCCACAATTAAACATGTATTTCCATCATTTTTTTCCCTCTTCTAAATTTTACAGCAAAAAAAACCAAAACAAAACAAAAAAAAACACAACAGAAGCAGTGCCAAGAAAACCATACTAGCCCTAATTATTATGCATAAATACATAAATAACCAAGCAAACAGCCTCCAAAGTGGTACATCACCTCTGTGCTGAGGATACCAATCTTCCTCAGGCTCTCCAGCTTTCACAGATATTCCACATGATACATCATGTGGATGATTCAATGACAGGTGCATAAAGGAGATAGTTCTTTTTGTTAAAGTAACCCCAAATCTGGAATTTGGCTAGGCCTCCACAGCTCACATGGAGCTATCCAGAATGGCTCCAAGCTCTTAAGTATTACAACGATAGGACTGAAGCATCTGTACTGGGACAGGTGAAAAGGAGCTACTCAATCTAAGCAGTCATCAAACAGAAAAAGAAGCCAACATCTAAAATGGATGAGATGGCCAGTTATGCAGAAGTGCCTACTGCTCTCCAAGAACTTCAGCAAAGCCTAAATCAACAGCGTCAGACATGGGCAATGAATCCCACTCAACTCTGCAAGTGAAAGGAGCCAAAGCCACACATCTCTGCAGCACAGCATGGCCTTAGACTAACTGGTTTATCACTATGGAGGAGGGAGGAACAAAGGAAAAGAACAAACACCTTTTTTTACTGATTCAATTCACAACAAGATCTTTTGGAAGGCATTAAATCCTAATACCAAATCAGGTAAATTCTGCTTCAGAATCGCAAAAATTTGAAGGACCACATTAGACATCTGCATTCCAGGCAGGTCCCTAAGCCTACTGTTTCTATTAGATTGACATCTCTGAAAGTCTACAATCAGCCAGGAAGAACTGGAAGAGGCAAGGATATAGGAACAGACTAAAAACTAAAACTCTAGTCAGATTATCTAGAAGGCAGCAGTTACTCATGTTCTGTCAGCAACTTTGCTTTCATTAGCTATGCTATTTAAATTGGTTGAAAGCTACAAGAAAAACAAGACAATTTCTTAAAATAATTTTTAAAAAATCAGCTTTCACTTTGCAGCTTATATTGCCATTGCACAAATGGAAAGGTAGCTCAGGTAAACTAGCAAATACTCGAGGCTTGAAATAAATTTCACTGTGTTCTCTGGCCCACAAGAAGGGATTGAGCATCACTAAATTCTTTTTATAGAAAGGGACTTCTTTTCTTACCCCATACGATTCTCACACTGTTTCTCTGTATTCAGAAAGGATATTCACAGATGTGTTAAGTCACACATAACATTAAAATGTCTCTAAGTACCTTAAGGTCTTGCCTGGTTGCCAACAGCTCAGACTCTTTCCCGTACAGATCCAGCTGCAGCTTTTCCATGTTTTCCTTATTTTTTTCATGGGTCTTCTGTAAGTCTGCTAGTTTTCCTTTCTCTGCTTTAAGCTCCTGAGCTGACAAAATAGTCTGCTGTTGCAGTTTATTCTCCAGTTCTGCCTGAAACATGAGCATAAAAAGTGCCAGTAAAAGTTAGACAGTAATCTTAACCATTTCAATAAACCACATTTCTACTGCAAAACTAATTTTTTTTTCCACTTACGAAACAGCAATTTAGTAATCTAATATTTACAGTTTTATAGCAATATTTTGTAAGTAATTTAACAATACTTAATTCAAATCAGAAGATTAAGTTAAGCATAATAAGATCTAACATTGAAAACATAAGTAAAATTTTAAGTCCTACAGTTTCCATAGTCCAACTAACACACAAGTTGGAACACGTAGCACAGGGCAGCCAAAGCTGGAGCAATATTTAACAGTGCATGGCACGCAACACAACATTCTCTCATGTTGGAAGACATTTGAACTCCTTCCACTATGGTTTATGGGTTTCATACTGTCACTCAGTTAAATTCTTTTGGTATAATAAAAGAGTTTAAAACTGCCACGGACATTCCAAAACACTGCAGAGTTTGTCTAAACTGCTCTCGCAAAACTTTCTACTGCTTTACAGGAAAAGAGCAGCTCTTGTTTCATAGCATCTTCCCGAAGCAACATAAAAATATTCAATCTAGCCTTTTTTTTTTTTTTTTTTAACCAATGTATTGAAACTCAGGTCCTACATAATCTGTATATTTCAGCATCAACTTGGAAGACCTTGATTCCACATCCTGACCTTATCCTTCTGAACAAGACTACAGTAAATAGCTGTTTATCACAAAGACCTTGGCATAAAAGTTGCAGCATTTATCAGATAAATGTATATTAATTTTCTTAAAGGAGTATGAGACGCCAGCCTTACCTTTTCTAAAAGGGCAGTTTTTAATTCAGCTTGCAGCGTTTCACTATGCTTTTTCTTCTGCTCAAAAGATTCCTTTATCTCTCTCAGCTTTCCCTGAAGATGCTGCTCACTGTTCTCTTTCTCTTTCAGAAGACCCTGAATTTCCAGTACTTGCGCCCGTGTTGAGTCAAGTTCTATTGACAATTGCTTAGAGATCTATATTCAAAAATACGAAATAACTGTATATAATTTTAATTTAAATCACCATTTATACCTGTAACTGCCTATTGAACTGTGCGTTTTACAAACTGTACAGTTCAAATTGCAAACAGACAATTCACAAATGAAAAACCTGTCAAAGCTGTTAAAGCTGAAGATATTGTCTCTGGCTCATCCAAAAGACTGCTACAAGTTGGGGAGCGTCCCCTGGTTGTAACTTGAAAGGTTACAAAGCCCTCTTCTATATCCCTCTGTGCATCTGCTGCTTTGCTCTGTACCAGGCAATATCTTTCTCATGAGTCAATATACTTGTTCTTACATTTTTTAAATAATCTGCAGGTTATCTGTAGAAGAGTTTCCAAGGATGCACTGTTTCCTGCATACAGAACCAGACTATCCCCCAGTGTCACTGCTGCTAACTCCTTCTTCAGAGCAAGATAATAAAGAACACTGACAACCAGATTCAGATAATAAAGAATATCTATACCAGAAAGATAACCTCTTGTTTTCAAGCTCCTACCCTTAGGTCAGCTCTGGTCTTTTTTTCCCCATTCAAAATTAAAAGCAAGTGGCTTTGTTCCAGCCAGTGGTGATCTGTGCTCTCCTGCTGCCAGCTGTAGCAGATACCAAACTCATCCTCCTGCACTTGCCACAGAGCACTGCAGTGCTTCTGCCAGAACAAGAGAGGAGACAGAAGCAGACACAGAGGAAGGGTCTGTCTGTAAGCATTACACCTGCACATCCACAAACCCTCTTTCAGGCAGCAAGAATCCACCACAGTTCAAAATGTGCCCACTGCTCATTATGCTTTTCTGGTTCCTTTAAGGAAAAGGTGACAGTTTAGGTCAAGAAATTCATAAAAATGGACTTGATCTTCAAAATACTGGCTGAACTAAATGATTTTGTCTGAATGCTCATCTTTAAAAATTTTACTTGGTATGTAGCCATAGGCAATTATAAAAGTTTGCAAAAGCAAACAAATCCACAAGAATAAATGAAAGTTTCCTGTAAACCACACGTGGAACATATGGATTAGGCAACACAGTGATGCCCAAGTTGAAAACAGATCTAAGGATATAAAATAAACAATTCCATTGTTCACAGATCATAAGTTTGAAAGCAAATGAGGACACAGTAATAAAAAATAACTGCTTCCATAATAAAGAGACTGCAGGGCCAAATTGACATGCAGAGCACAGATAAGTAAGAGCAGAACCAGTATTTTAAATACATCTAGGAATTTTTTAGTATTACCTTATTTTAAAGTCCCAAATGGGTTACAATTTGAAAAGTGCAACTTTTCTTATCCCTCAACAATCCCAGCATGAGAAACTGAAAATCAATCTTTTCAACATGTTATTACTCTTCTGATTTTTTTCATACTAAATAAGCAGACAGCTTACCCCCTCCTTTTTTTCCAGTGAGTTTTTCAATTCATTCCTCTCTTTAGCTACAGACTCTGTCTGTACCTGGAGCTGCTGTTTTATTTCTTGGTAAGATTTTTCCTATAAAACAGAAGACACAAGCAAATATTTCTGGGAGCTTCTAAGACCAAATGCCAGGTATTTTCATAAGAGCTACAAAAGCCTTTATAGAGAATATTTGTGGTTGTTTCTTTTTCCAATGAAAATGCTTTCCTCCTCAGTTGTGAACATTTTCAGTTAAAAATTCCAGCCACTAACAGTGAGTCTGTGCACCACTGCTGATAACACATATTTAAGGCAGCTGTGTGCCAAAAAGATTTTCTGATTAGGAAGTCTCCTTCGTGGAAGCCGCTATTGGCAGCCTTCTTCTTATAGCAAGCACTCATTTCTCTCTCAGGATTCAAAATTTCTTCATGTTCTAAAACTCATGAGCAAATACAATTGCAAGATTATTATGTGAACAACAAGTCAGTGACGAGACTTCCAATGATTAGAAGCAGAATCAGACTGGAAAGTCTAAACTCAGAAGAAAAACCTTCAAGCGTTTGGGAAAAACAAATATTTAAATAGCAGCAACTAAAGCAAGCAAAAAAGCTTACCTTAAAAAGGTGAAAGAGGAAAGGAAAAAGTGTTATTTTTAACTAGGAGCAGATTTATTTTTTAATCGAGTAGAATAAAAGTAGCTACATGTTGGTTCTGGGAAATGGGGACATGCAAGATATTTGAATATTTACTGATACAGTCATCAGTTGTATTTCCAGCAAAGCAAAAGGAGGAAGAAAAAAAAGGTATATTTTAAGGCTAGTAGGAGTCCATTCTTCTTACCATTCTACACTGTTTGAGTTAAGTATTTGTTACTATACTGCCATGTACTAGACTTCTCTGAAACTGAAATAATACATATATATGTGCTCATACATATATGTATTCTTAAGTTAGGCATCTCCCAAAACAACATGATGTTATTCTGGCTGCAGTATGCAGCTTTCTAGGACGTTCGAGCAAGTGCACAGGAAGGTTCTACATAAAAGGCTATGGAAAGGAAACTAAAATGGCCTCTCTTCATTTTTCTTCAATACAGTGGCACTAATTAACTTCCATTCAGTCTTATCATATATATAGTGTTTTCAGGCATAAACTTGTTTTAATATCATACAATAAATACTTCAAACTTCATGTGTAATGAACAAAGCTACTAACCATTTCTGCTACAGCTGCTTTTCCTTTTTCTATTTCTTTTTCTAATTCTTCCTTCCTTTTTTTGAAGGATTCAGAACTTTTCGAGAGTTTCTCTTTGGTAGCTGTAAGGTCCTTTTGCAAAGTATCCTTCTCTAATTTCACCTGTTGCAGCTCCGATGTTGCTGCTTGCATTTTGCAGTCTAATTCCTTGAGTTGTTTACTTGTATCTTGACTTGATTTCTCAAGATTTTTTTTGAGGCTGGCGTTTTCCTCCTCTTGCTTTGAGATTTGCTGTTTTGCTTGTTCAAGGGTCTCAGATTTCTTCTGTAAATCCAATTTAGCACTAGACATACTGCAAATACAAAACCAAAGAGAGAAAAATAAAAGATTTTTTAAGTTGTTCTTCACAGGTTCTTTGTATCACTAAACAACTCTATTTAAGAATATTAACTGTAGAACTAACTCAAAGAATGCCTTTTTATTTTAGAATGTGGGCATTTTTTCTCTCTAGTGAAGACATATCAGCAACTCTAAACACTATTTTGAGATGGATTTTTCCTTCCTCAAATACTGCGAACAGGAACTACTCCTTTGCTTCTTATGCAAAAACAGCAAATTAATCTTTGAAAGATACAGAGCTGTGGATACATCAAGATGGATCTTAGCGCTTCAAACTGTTCAGATATTTAACTGACAAGCACAGTGAATAAACTGGAATGCACTGAATCACAGCAGTGAGTGATTCACATGAGATGATGTGGCAGATGGAGTCTGCATGGCAAGTGAAGTGCAAGAAAACAACTGGGACCTAATTCAGATCTCATAGCAGAGGGAATACATCACTTTGATCTATGATTTTATGAAATTACAGGAGGGAAGAACAAAATTTCAAGTGTACTCCAAACCACTCTAGCCCTATGTCCGACTTCAAAAACTACTACAACACAGGGAACACATACGCTTCTCTTTCTGCTTCAAGTTGTTTACTCAGCTCTGCTATTCGGAGGTCTAATTCTGTAGATTGCTGTCGCTGCTGCTGTAACTCCTGAAGAGCTTGGTCTTTGCTTGCTTTAGCATCAAGAATGTCAGCCTCAAGTTTCTGAGATAGAAAAATAGAAAAGTTAGAGCCATTGGAAAACAACCAATAAAACAGAAGTACTGTCATTCAGCAGTATTTACTGGAAAGTCCTTACTATAGAAAGCAGCGACAATTATCACACACTATCCATATCTTTCATTAGTTGGCCACTTGCCATTCATTATTTAGTTCCTGCAACTCTTTCAATCCCCTAAAAGCAAACTGTTTTGGTAAAACATTCTGAAATCACCTTTAAATTAAACACAAGCAGTTATTTTATTGCAAAGTAATAAATAATGAAGTAATAAAACACAGACATCTTTAAAAAGCCATTTAAAAAGCGAAGTGCTTGGCTTTGGTTCTCAGCTAGGTTCTTAGCTACCAACAGTTTCAGCAGTTTCAAATGACTACTGGTTTACATAGCCCCAACTCTGACATTCTTTGGTAACAACAAAGACATGAACTACAGCTATAAAGAAATACTGTTCTCATCTAAAAGAATGTATATTTTGTTTCATTTTTGAAGGTATTTGTTTATGTGGAATATAAACAGTACAGCAATCAGGTACTGCTTAGACTCTTCAACATGTTAGCTGTTTTATAGGCACTTCTGCTTTTATGCAGTGGTCACAATACAAAATCATCAAGCTCCTCTGAGAAAATTCCTGAGGATTTCTGCTGTTCGTCATGTGTTTTTTTCCTCCTTTTAAATACCATGCATTCATTCAACTGGAATAACACAAAGAATGGTGATGACATGAAGACTTTTACACACAATTGCATTCCTGTAGAAAGCATCAACAACCCTGCTCAGTTTCACACTTCACTACCAGGGACCTCATCAAATCTTGTGCAAGTAAACAATGTATTCCTCCTAAGCATTTGAGTATATTGGTTACTCGCAAAACTTTGGCAAAAGTATCAAAAACACAAATGAAAGCAGGTAGAAAAGCCCATAACTAGGAAAAGCACTCTCTAGACTGCTAATCTCCTTCAAAAACCAGAACATAGCACCACAAAAAAATTCTGCACTGCTCCTAAGATCTCTCTATTATATGATTTCATGCATTGCGATTTTGACTCTCAAGAATGTTTAACAAGAAACAACGTTAAAATGTAAACCTCAAGTTTTAAAACACTGGAGTAATTTAATTCATAATTCAGACTAATTCATACCAATAATTGAAAACATTAGTATAGGAAAACGTCTAAAGGTTCTGTAAACTTAATGACGGGCAATGTAAGAGAAAAGCTAAGCCCAGGAATGGAATGCAAAATGCAAGATCAAACTAGCAGAAAAATATATAGAAGTAAATTAAACCAAAAAGGTAGTATTAACTTGTGCTAACCAATGTAAGACACATTCCCTGGCGCCACTTGAAATGTGTATAAACCTGAAGACTGTAATTTCTGGAAGTAATCATGTTCCCCCTCACAGCACCTTCCAGGCACAGAGGTTGGTAGAAGCACACTAAAGGAAAGCGGCAGTATAAGGGAACTTAGTGTGATACGCGAGCCCAGGAGAAGAGAATATGATTAAAGGGTGTATCAGTGAACACTGGTGAGAAAGAAAACCTACAGAAGTCATACTTCATATAAATCCTTCCCTGTAATCTGAGCCCAGCTTTTATCAAATACCACCAAGCAGCGGTGAACATCAGTCTCAGTAAGCTCAGACACTGTGTTCAATACAAACCTTAAGCTGTCCCTCTAGCTCTTCGGTTTTCTGTTCTAAATAAAGATGTTGCTCTTTGTAGTCTTTGAGATTGGCTTCCAGCTGAGCACAGTATTCCTGCTTGTCATTCAGCTTAGCCGTAACCTGATCCAACTGAACACTGACCTTATTTAACTCCTGAGGTAAAATAAAAATAAGAGGGTTGTTAGCTTCTAAATAGCTTCTAGAAATGAGTAATGTCCTTTGAATATATGCTTTGAGTGATCTAATATGTTAAAATTAAAAAGGAAAATGATGCTTCCTTTTTAATCTGAGAGGCAGGAAATTGAGATGGAAAAACACAAATAAATTCTCTTTGTTCAACACATCCCTCACTAAAGTTTACAGGCTATGAGCTAGAGCTTAAAAAATGTGTTTGAAGTTATAAAGAGATGAGGAACTGTACGTCATAAATGCTCAAAATCCTGGAGTTAATACAGCAATAATTAGAATGCAACACTACAAAACCTTAGAGAAAACTCGATGTCTCCCAGGAATGAAGCACCGCCGAAGAGGAAAGCCTGCAGTATGGGAACAGTAAACTCAATACACCAAAGATAATTCCAGATCATTGGTTCAACACAAAACAGTGTGATTTCCACAGGAGACACAAAGATGTTTGCCTTGTAACCACTAAGAGAACAGCTACATCCAAGCTTCTTACTCTCCAAGCAAGCTGATATGTTTAATTATTAGTTAATTATGTGTTTAATGAACAGTTCCAAAAAGACATCTTATGTTTATGGCTAGTAATTATATTCCCACCTAAAAATTGGTGCCCTTAGGAAGTGCTGAATATTCAGCTGCTGAAAAAAGATGACAACAGCATGGATTCTAATAACACAAATATTTGATTCAGCACCTGGTGGAATGCTGTAGTTGGATTAATGCAAACTAAAACATGCAATTTTAACAATCCTCATGTCTTCTTGTCAGCTGGCATGCAGATAATTATTTCTGAATAAAGACTTTTTGATTTTGAATGTATCTGAATCTGTAATAAAAGTTAACAGTTTTCAATTGAATCCAGTGCATTATATAAACTTTTCATAGCATACAAGTTAGAATTGTACTCAAATACCACAGCTCAGACCACAAACCATGGCTAAACATACAGCAAGGACTGGATTTCCAAGTTCAGTTCTTTACACTGCAAAATGCCCATATGGTCCAGATTACAGCAGAAAGAACAGAAAACACATCACATGGTTAAAATATCCTACAAGATTATTTCCAAATGCATAGTCACATATTTATGTAGTTTGTAATCAGACTATTCTTAGGTTTGTAAGTAGATTTTTAGGTAACACAGGAACTTTATGTTTGCGTGTTTCTCATAACCTGTTGCTTGTCTTGCAGTGCATGCTGGGCAGTGTCCAGATGATTCTGAAGGTCTGCTCTTTGAGCAGCTTTTGATGCTTCTGCTGAAAGCAGCAATTCAGTTTTTGCTTTTACCTGAAAGACAAGTTGTACTTCATTACAGTATCTATTATGAGTAACTTCATTAGCAGTTTTCATGTACTAATGGGAAAAATAAAAGGGGAAATTTTTTCAAGTTTTAGAAAAAAAAAAATCAATGTGTTAAAACACAGTTAGCTCCTTCTTCAAGCTAAAAGCAGAATTAAAGAACAGTCCTATTCATATTCTTCGCTAGTGAAATATTTTTACATAGAAGCAAAAAAAAAAAAAAAAAAAGGAATAGACAATGTATCCACACACACGTACCTTGATAACTTCACACAAAATGAATGTTTGAGATCCTCTAAAATTTTTAGAGGCAAAAGGAATTAAAAAATAACTAAAATATGCTGTTATGTGTATGCTGTCTTTCACTGTTACTAATGGCATTTCAGGGAGCAACCCCTCACTCCTTCCAAAATATCCAGCCACCCACATTTATACAGCAGCTATGAATGGTGTTGGTGTATAGAGGTAATTGTCAGGTCACTGACTACTGCAGCTTGCTATTTTCTATCTGTAACAGAAATGTTACTTCTCAAAGGTTGTAGCAAAGCCCATATTGCCTTAAAAAGCAGATGCAACAGTCCATAAATTACTGTTTTAGCCCTGAAGTCTTGTTGAAGAACAATCCACATCTTATAGCAAAGCCCAGCAAAAACATCACAGAACAACAGAAGTTATTAGACCTGCTCAGAAATTGAGTAACACTACTTAGCAACACACTGTATTAATCAAACAACAGTGCTAGGTGTTTCAAGTGTATTAATTTAAGAAAACAATGTCTGCTATACTTCTGATCAAAGTGTTGTTCATTCTTTGTGATACCTCAACAGAATTTACTGGTTTTAGTGTAATCAGTACTTAACTGTAGGAAAGTCCACACTGAGACTATAGTGGGGAATTGCCTTGTTTAATTCAATTGAATTGATAACAAGGCAACTTTTGTTTTGTTTTAGGTAAAAGCTACCAGCACAAGAAATTTCTAGGCAACAGCAACATCTTTAACGACTTGACAGATTTTCACTCTGATGCACAGAACCTAGGAGTGATAACAGCAGTTCTGTGGATGATTAACCATTACAAATACAACAAAAGATGCTTGAAGACAAATTCTCCCAACTTGATTATGAATTCCCACTACCACCACCAAAAATCACCTATCCAACAAAGAAACAAACAAAAAAATCAACCTTGCTATCTATTCCTATTCTAAAACCACTTACATGTTCTGCATGTTTATTTGCCTTATCTTACTTTGTCTGCAAGTACAAACACGTAATTTTTTCCCCAGATTGCTTTGTACATTCTCCAGAGAGAATACAGAAATCAGAACTGGATTTATCATTGCCAGGCAGCATAGAGTTCCATTACCTGTACATCAAGTTGTGATACTTTCTCTTTACTTTCATTTAGCTGACTGCTCAACTCAGTGATATTGGCTTCCAGAGAGAGCACACGGTCTTGAGCAGCTCTTAGATGTGCCTTCTGCTCCTGCACTTGCTCATGCAAATTCTCTTGGGCTTGTTTATGACTTTCTGATTGATTCTTCAGCTTCTCTGTCAGTTGAGTTACCTGTATTGAGGAGGTAAACAGAGACTGTAATAGGAGGAGCAAAAAAGTCATAAAACTTTGGAATTCTAGGGCATCTTATCACAGCTCCAGACTTCTAACTCTAACTATTACAGTAAAGCTACATTGTACAATATCAGAGTTTCAATAGGATACCAGCTAAAAATGGAAACAAAAGGGACTCATCAATTTAGCCTTACTCTGACAAAAATCAATAACTGAGAAAACAAAAGATGCAGAGTAGACTGAATGTTAGTATGGAAAGCAGGAAATAAACCTGTTTTTGAAAAAGAAATATATGCATCCACTTTTTTAAGAGTATATTGTTACTGTACGTACGTAGGAAACACCTAGGAATTCTCTTCTCTTTGCTGATAGCGGGTAAGTTACCAAAATACATACAAAGAAACAGCAAAGTCTAGAAAAGATCAGTGTCATATTTAATGAGAGAGGAATAATGTAGTTAAGACACAATAATGAAAAAGAGCAGAGAAACAGGTTTCTGAATTCTTACCTGTATTTGTAGTGCATGATTTTTCTCCTGTAGCTGGTTAAGAACTGCAGTTTCTCCTTCACCAGCTTGAATTTTCGCATACAAATCCTCTCTTTCCTTTTCAAGCAGAGAGATATTTTCCTTACTCTTTTGAAGCAAGGCCTCAAGATTTTGAATTTTTTGGTCCTTATCTCCAATTTGTCGTAGTACTTGCTCCAAATCATTCTGGAAAATTGCAGAACATCTTCCTTAATTATAGCCGCCTTAGGACTTATTCCTAATGCATAAAATGTTGGATAAACTTATTAAGCACCCTCTGTATATTCTATTTGAGATTTACCCACCAAGCTACCTAACTATTTTGAAGTCCCATAAGCCACTTTTACAGAGAATACATACTGAAAATAATGAAAATCTGAAATATGCCTTTATGTGAGGCTATATAAGTAAGTTACCTGGGCTTCTCGAAGTTTTGATGTCGTGTTTTGTTGAAGTGTCTGCTGTTCCTGGTGCTGTTGTTTTGCCTTATCTAACTGATGTTGCAATTCTGTGGAGTTTGCCACCTTTTCCTTCAGCTGAGAGAAAAAAACACTCGTGAGTAAGCACCATTCACTATTTCAATAGCATTCAGTGTTTATTCTAATGCCTGCAGTTTATTCTAAACAAGGATATATGAAAATTGGTGTAAAAATAGAAGTGTGTGAATCTAAGTTAAAGAACAAAAATCTAACTCAAGCATTTCTTATTAATAGATGAGATCCTGAATCATAAGTGAAAACTATATAACTATCAGACATATGTATTTTAGTTCTCAAAAATAAGAGATAAAAAGAGATTTTAGTATGGTTTTTTTTCAACACTTGTTAAGATATAACATGACTGATAATGCAAGTAACCTGTAAAACAACATTATTAGTAGTAGCAGTTTTAGTAGCAACTTCAGTTTAGTAGTCTCTCCTCTTTTATAGTAGTAGCTTTACAAATTCTAACAACATACCACTCAGATATTTGGCCAATCCCCATAGAAGTAGCAGAAAACCAGCAACACATATAAGACACTCATTAAAATAAATGAAAATGAATAAAAGCAAGCAATTTCTACCCATCCACCAGATAAAATTCACTAATTATCAGTGAGCTGCTGTGCCACGTTCACATTGTTTTCCATGGAGAGTTTTATCCCACAACAGTATCTACACACAAAGCATTACTTATGTGTGCTCAGGTGCACCTACATCTTTCTTTTATACAATTATTACACAAAGATCATCAATGTAAAGGAAGATCTTTCTTTTATCTCCAAAGTACCATGAACATACACGCATGAAATGAGCATTTAGACTTACAAAATCTGTAATGTAAAAGGCATTTAGGCAGATTTTGACAATTTCATTGTAAGACTTCAACAGTATTCGCCAAATGACACTCCTATAAGGAAAAAAAATCTATCAACTGCAACACTACAGCCATGGAGTGCATGCCTACACAATGAAAGTGCATGGAGTGCATTAGGAATAACTTCTAAGGTCGCTATAATAATGGCCATGACTATATACAGGCTATTATCAGAAACGGTATAAATAAAAGTTTGCAGAAAATGCTCCTACCTGTTCCTCAGCACGAGAAAGCTTCAACTGAAGATCAGCCACCTGCTGCTCTTTGTCCATCAGCTTTTCACTAGAGAGCTGCCTCTGCTCCTTAAGCCGCCCATGTGCTTCCCCCAGCTGGCGCTCTGTTTCCAGAAGCTTACTATGCAGCTGCAAAAGAAAATTTAAAGTAAATAAATAAAGTTATCCATTCCTTCAGTCTTTAGCCAATTTAGATTCAATTTTGCCATGTCTGACCAAGAGTTTCATTACTTGGAATAAAACAACAACATAAGCTCCTGAGTTCATGAAGATACACCATATAATGCAGAAACAAAATCACATCTAAGAACAGCATCAACTGCACAAGGATAAGTAAATATTCAAAGCAGTAGGTAGAAGGGGCCTAGAAATATCCTCATTTATCTAGAGAAACCCTTCCATATCTGTTTCAAAGTTTTACCTGAAAAACAAATAGGGCAATCTTTGAAAGACATAAGAACTACTGTGTAAAAGAGCAAAGCTTTAGAGTGATCTCACCTTACATCTGAGTCACATAGACTCAGTGGCCAGAACAACACACCTTCACCCACTGCACTGGTTCCAACAATACACTGTTCTGCATTGCTAGACTACTAACTAGGAGTTGGTAGTTTGATCCAGGCATTCATTCAGTGCTGAGAAGACATGCATGAATCTGCTGTAGTGTGTACGCAGTAACATTGCTGGCTTACATTTCAGCACATCCCAGCAGGAGAGCCTAAGTCAGCACTTAGACTTGCTCATCCAGCCAGATGTAAACCTCACTTGGAATTTTTGAGGTTATCAAAAGCAGTACTGCACAATTCACTGTCAGAGAAAAGCTTGTTCTATAAAATCAACTTTCCTTCCCTTCAGTTTACCTCCAAAGGTTCTCAGTTACCTCCTGCCTACTTCTACATTAACAACTTTATGCCTACACAATGAAAGTTCAATTTGATGCAAAAACTGGGAGTGATGCAGTCATTGAAGCACAGCAATCCATTTCCACAAATATCGACATTAATGATGCTCATTTTCTTATTAACTTACATCCAAGATATTCGTATCATTCACTCTGTACATTCAGGACCTCCCTCTAATATCACAGAATTGAAGAAAGGCTTGGGTTGGAAGGGACAAAGATCATCCAATTCAAACTCCCTCCAATGCAGAGTTGCCAACAACTAAATCATGCACTAGATGAGGCTGCTCAGGGTCTAGCAAGCCTGGCCACAAACACTTCCAGTGATGAGGCATCCATAACTTCTCTGTTCCACCACCTCACCATTCTTTCAGTGAAAAATTTCCCCAACATCTAATGCAAATCTCTCCTCTTAGATAAAAACCACTTCTTCTTGTCCTATCATTATCTACTCATGTAAAAACTTTGTTTCCCTCCTGATTACAAATCCCCTTCAAGTACTGGAAGACTGCAATGAGGTCTCCCCTGAGCCTTCTCCAGGATAGCCTAGCAGGACAGAAACAAGGAACAGGGCTTTGATAACATTAAATCTCGCCCCCAGGCACAGAGGGGGTGAGGCATGAACAGACTAAGACTCCTTTACCCAACTCTCTGCTTCCACAAAAGTGTAATGCTGAAGAACCCAACACTGAAAACCTTTCAATCATCTTTCAAAACTGACTGAAGTTATCACACAGCACAAAATTTACATGGGACAGAGGCAGAGAATCAAATGCTTTATTTTCTTAGGAAACCAGGCTAAATCACGTCCACCACCACAAACACTGCAAATGAAAAGGTGTTAAGCATGTGGTTGAAATGCTAACTATTTGAATTGGACTGCAGAACTAAGAGAGAGGTAGAAAATGAGGAAGGACAGAGCATAAAAAGCAAGAAAATTTGTCTTTTTCTGTGGTAATCACTGAATAATTAATACTTCCTCACTAGAAATACAAACAAGAGCCAAAGAAAAAAGTCTACCAAAGAAAAGGAGCAATGAGATCACTACAGAACTCATGGTAAAGTCTTGCCGCCTTTGTTCGTGTGAAACACTCAAGCAAAAGCAGCTATGCTACAGGGTATTCCAGCTTAGTTTAACAAAAAATATATTTGTAAAAATAAACAAGAGTAACAGTATATATTAGCAGCTAACATGTCTACAAGACTGTCCTTATTTTCCTATTCCCATTGCAGCGCTGGAACCAATACCATCATCAGGGCTTCCTTTCATTGTGAAGATCACTTCCTTTGGGTCATTCAGAATCTAAAATATACAAACTTCACCAGTGCTCAGAGAGGAGCACATGCAACTGAAAAACTACTGCATATTTTCAGAAATAAATTTAGGGCAGAAGTAAAATACTGGTCTGCTTTGCTTGAATACAAGCTTCCTTCTACTACTTACAACAGTAAGCATGCAAAAATGTCAATTGCTCATTGAAGACTGTAGGATAAAAACTGGTAATATTTAGAGAACCCCAGCTACTGGCTATAATAGCAGTCAGGCAGGTCAGCACTTTGAAGAAATACATAACTGCCAGGATTGCATCTGTGTGAATTTTGAGGAGACTCTTTGAAAATGTGGTTTGACTAAAAATCCTCGTATCTGTCTTCATAAGCAGTATTACATTATGTCAACATGAGCTACTGAACTAGAAGTGGGAAAAGGTAACTTCACTCAAGTATCTTGTTAATGAATAAGAGCAGTTTGCTTTCACCATGATAGTAGTTACTGAACTCTTGTTTGCAGGGAAGGAGAGAGGAAAAGAAATATTTGCTTGATTTCACTCCTAATTTTATACCACGTGTGGAATGACTTCTTTTCCCAGCTATTCTATTACAACACAATTCTAAAACCCACCCTAAGATGCAGCAGCTTGTTTAGGTTTTCTCACTTAGACTGATCTCCTTCCCAGCAACATCCCTAGAGGACATGCAAGGCCTGCATTTCCTTTCACAGCAACTCATTTTTCATGATCCTTCTCCGTCTGCCTACCTCAAAACTGTGTCCCAAAAAAGCCCTTACAATCTGAACCCAGATTTCAGCTCTAGTTCTTGGCTTTGCTTCTGAAGCTTGCATATGTGTTGCCTAGACAGACTGAAACAGTTTTACTAAACAAGGATTCCTAAGCAGATGACTAACATCTCTCCTTTCACTCATCAAAAAAGACTCAATGAAGAAGGAAAGACACTTTGAGGATGTAATAAATACACAAAGTTTTGCCAAGTCACTGTTCTTCCAAGATAAGCCATGCATGCATGGCTTGCAACTTAATCTGTTTTTGACTTGCTCAGATGCTTGAAAGCTGAGAAAATATTAAGATCAAGTGCATCATCCTAAAATAAATATATATTTTTTTCCATCTTAGGACTGGACACTAATCCTGGTACACAAATATTTATCCAATTTAATACATTACTCTCCAAAGACATGAGATAAGACAGAGTTAAGCCAGTCTTGAATGTCTGTATGCTCAATGTTGTATGAAAGTCTTGCTTCCATAACTCACTGTACACAGCAGAACAATATTCAGATGGTGGAAGTGTTATGCTCTGGGTGTTTTTGTGGCTGTAGACCACATAAAGAGAAGGTCTTTGTGGAGAGATGCAAGAGAAGCAACATTAAGACATGACATTATCCTTGTTCTTCACACTACATATTCTCTGCATTCAACAAATGTGAACAAATCAAGTATTGTTCAGTTCCACTGTAAAAAAAGACAACTTTCACTTTTCTCAAGCTTCCTACAGAATATTTTCACTTCTAGTAGTAATCTCACTTCCTCTAATATTCTTCTTGACTTACGTTGGTTTTCCATAGCCTCAACTTATTAGAGATTCAGATACCTTACAAAATCAGAATACATGACTTTACTGATTTCTCAGTAGTTGTCCATTACTATATTTGCCATGTATTCGTGATTGCATTCTCATTTGACAATATTTTCTTTATTTCAGTGAATTTTTACCTTTTGCATAAACAAAAAAAAAGGAGATGGGAAAAGTTGGAGGATGAAGGAGAAGTTCATATAACCAGAAGGAGAGTGGACAAGCAATTTCTTTTAGATCAGCTAAAGCCTTATTTATTCACATATCAAAATAATTAAAAAAAAAAAAAAAAAATCAGCAAACTCCTATAACACAAGAAATCATCTACAAACCTTAGGTGGACTCTTTTATCTTTAATATTCAAAATGGAAAGCTATTCGTTTAAAGATAATTCGACAGAACAGTTCCAGAACAGAATTCATAAGACTAGTTTCCCTTTCAGAGAAGGGGGGATTATACCATAGATAGATACACGTTACATCAGTATTCTCAGAAATAAAATGTAGAAAAGTGGTTGGATTAGTAGATCTCACTGAGTTTGGTTGTCATGCCTCTGGGGTTACGAATGTGTTCATTTGCTTCCAGTGAGAGTTCAGGACAACCAAAAGAAAAAAAAAAAACACTTCCACCACTCTTATCACAACTTCTTTTTGCCCATTCTTTTTTCACTTCTTTAAGGGGAAGAAGAGATTTATTCAAACACGAGTTATCTACTTGCATACTCCTCTTGAACAAAAAAAGGCATAGTTAAATAAAACCTAACGGGCCTGTTTAAGGACTGGTACCAACAGGAATTGTCTAGGGGGGTTTAAGGACTCTTACCTGACTGAGCTCGCTCTGGAGCTGCAAACCATGCTGCTCTTTTTCCTCTCTCTGCTGCTGGAGCTGTTTACATTCTGCCTTAAGATGCTGGTATTTTGTCTCTACTTCGGACAATTCTTCTTTAAGCTTCTGGCTTGCTTCTCCCTTCTCACCTAGCTCTGTCTGTAATCTCTGTATCGAGGCTTCAGATGCAGACAGCTTTGCCTGAAGCTGTTGGCAATCCAGGTCCTTCTGGTGAAAGCTTGCCTGAACACGCTTTTTGCTCACAGATAGCTCATTATGTTTTTCTTCTAGCTGGCTGTACTCCTGCTCCTTCTTCAGCAGCTTCTCAGTCAGATTCTACAAAGAGAGTTATACTGCAATTTAACTGCAATTCTGCTTACATCTGTTCAACACAATATTCAAACGTCTCCCAAGTGCTGATGCAGAACACAGCATTATTAAAGGAAATGTTGGTCTCTACACCATGTTACATAAGTTAATTATGGAGCCCATATAGCACACAGTTACACCTGGAAATGCTGTTTTCATATTCTCACAAAAATCTTGTTTATGAGAATACCACACAAAATCTATTTGTGTATCCTGAAAAATAATTGGCTTTCCCTGAAAGTTCAAATTCCAGGTTGTTATAATTGCCTTTGCTTGAGGAAAACACACACTGACACACACACAGACAACTTAAGAAGTTACTTACAAATAGCTTTCAGCTATTACATAATTGTAACCAATTTTCATAACCCAAGCAAAACTGTATTCTGATAGAATTTAAGTATCTCATTTGACAAGATATACCTCAAGAATGTTTAGGTTTTTCCTCAAGCTTAGCTGCAGCCTTAACTAGCATTTCAAACAGTGACAAAGAAGCCACAAAAACCATTTCAGTCTTCCATTGGCATTTGCTGAAGCACAGAAATACAGATGAAAGAAGGCCCTGGTCACCATCCAGCTTGGGTTACTCATTCTCTTCTTGAAGGGTACCAGGAAGTTCCATTTAGGTGTCAGTAAGATACTGCAATGTCCCAGTGAAGCATTACTATGAATACCTATCAAAAAGCTTGTTCTTCCTGCAGTTTCAGAGACTACTGTATTCTCTCTAGCGACCCTTTAAATTAAAACACAGAAACCAAAAAACCTTTCCAACAAATTAGCTTGAAAAAAATGACAACACTGAGGTCATTCTGATGTGTGAAGACTTCAGACAGCTCTGCAACTTTGCAGCAGCACTGTTCCAAGAAAAGAGAGAGCTGTAATTCTGGCTATGCTGGACACCTTAGAAGTGCATTTTCACACAGTACCCTGGGATGAAATCAATTTTGCCAGAAGAAAAAGCTGTAGTATTATTAAGTAAATTGAACTGATCTTTTGCTCTTTACAGTTTTTACAGATAACAACTATTTCGGTCATTGTAAACAACATACTGGCACTTTTATTTTACACTACTGATAAACAGAAGAACCTTTTTAAAAATAGAGGTTAGAAAACTATCTTGGAAATGCCAAATCTGGTATTCTACTAATCCATGTGAGAACAAATACATTTAATACTCTTAAGTGTCCATGTAAAAAAAGCAGACTTTCTAAAGCACACAACTCAGCCAAAAATTCTGTCTTAAGACTAAAGTTTGGTCACTGTATTTTAGCCCTCAGGCAGTATATTTCAAAATGCTTCTTGAAAAGCAGAACAACTTGTTGCTGTTACAGTACGTAGAAGTTTTTCGTATAGGGACATCTAAACATATAAGTCATGTGCTCTCTTTACCCTGCTCATGTCAGTGACAAGGCTCACACTGCTTTGAATCTGAAATAAAGTTCCCTTTTCATTAAAGAAGAAAGGCCAACCAGGATGACTAACTAATATATACTAAGGATATACCAAATATATACCAGGATGACTAACTATTTATACTAAATGGTGATCCTGAAATACCAACCAACACATCACAGTGCCTTTTTCATCAGAACAGGAGAAGGTAGAGATAAGCAATGAACATTACTAGTACTTCGTTATTAGGTCCATAGATCACACGTAGATTTGTGATATGTGAGCTACTTCACCTTCTCAGTACAAGTTACTCAAAGGACAGCCAAAAGCAGCAGCTACATGTAGTTGAAGATGATGACACTGAATTCTGTGCTACTCTCTTCCTCCCTGGTAGGTTAAACAATACAACAGGGAACAATCATGTTTAAATCTGCAGGGCTGTGTTAGCAGGCTACAACCCAGAGCTTCCACCTCTGAAAGATTAACAGCTTATATAGCTGACAAAGTCACAGCCATTGCCACATACTCAAGAGGCTGAGTTACCTTCATATGTGACTGAAATACACAAGAAATCTTGACAACACATACTTTGGCAGCTCTGTGGCCTCATTCAGTTTGTATCAGTGGACCCAGTAGCATTTCCTGTTTGAATGCATCCCAGATAATGGGCACACATCAGTTGCCCCTTTCCCAAGGCTTGTTTTCCAGCACACTACAAAGCCCTGAGCCTTCATATCACAAGATACAAGCTGAAACAATCCCTTTTTTCATGCTACTCCATGGATACAAGCAAAAAGAACATAACATATATGTGTGCAGTCATAGTGAATAGGCCTTAAAGAATAAACACTGTGGTGACTGACTGAATTTCAAAACAGTTACACCAGTAGAAGGTTGGAAACCAAGCATTTTTCCATGTAGATAATGCATCACAACCTTCCTAAAAGAAAACAAAAGAACCCACATTTGATGCATTTGGAATTACAGCAAGTCTTACACTTCAAGGTATACCATACACTGCTTTTTTCATGTTAGGCCTCCTCCGGGCCACTTCTGGCCTCTAAAGTAATGTCTGGCTGTGCAAAACAAGCCAGGCCCCATAATTACAGTATTCTGTAAGTGAAGGGAAGTCAGTTCCTGATGGTCTCATAAAACTGATCTCATGTATTTGTCATCTCTCTTCTCAGTATAGCTCCTAAAAATAAAAGAAACAGCCTGCTTGCTTGCTTCAAGTTTTATGTGATTTGGAAAACTCTGCACCAAAGTACTGAGATATCTTCCTGCATTGCAGTGAATTACAAAAGGATGTACACAGCAAAACGCCAGGTACTCTGTCCAGTATCAGTAGCACGTCCTGCCTTCCTGACAGCTTCTTCAAGGAGCGTGCCCTGTTCAAAGGGGAAGCAATTTCTATTATTTGGAAAGCCAGTCTCACATTTTCCAATTCTAAATCCAAGTTCCCCAATGCCAGGATTCCTTGGTTAGCATATTATAAGCTGCATAAAGAGATGGATGTAAATTGCTTTTATTTGCTGAAACTGGAAGTAGTTCAGTGCCATTTCTGATCGCATTCACCAGTTGGTGTTTGGCATTAACCTGACATAGCAGAGGAGTCTCTCATAAAAGTATGAGTACCTTACTCATCAATCTGTTTCACTTCATGTTGTTAATTGAACAGCAACATATTCAGACAAGTTCTTTGTTCTCTATAGCAATAATTTTGCCAAAAGCTTGATTAAATGTTGTTAATCTGTGTAAAAGAGCAGCATGACAATGCTCACTAGCTCAGTCCTGCAATTAATTTTGTAAGTCAAATCAAGAATCATCCTATCAAATTTTAATTGCACTCTATTATATCTTTGTAAATGCTATTAAGTATTCCCCCCCTTGACTGGCAAGATTGCTGCTGAATACATATGTAATGTTCACAATAACATAATGTTATATATACATGCACACAATAACCAATATGCATATTTTTCTCTGTTTCCTTTCATTTCTTACAAACACAAAATACAAAATTGTACCAAGTTCAGAAGGCTTTAATTAAAGCTCTCAATGAATACTTATCAGCTAAAAATCTTCTGGAGTTTATCTTAGTTTTCCATTGTTCATTTTTCTGATAAAAGGCCAGAAAATATGAAAATATGACACTGATACAATCTAAAAGTGAAGGAATTGGAAGACAAATACAGAGATCTCATCTTCTGAATTACAATTTCTGGGAACTATCATAATATTTTGATGGATATTGCTTTAATCTTTTAATGAGTGAGAAGGCAAAACTATTAATGCTCACAAATCTTTAAACTGCAGCTATTAGAAACCTGCAATCTTAACAACCCTTAGGAATTACACTGAAATGTACCAATACCACTTAAAAATATTGTTCACTTGTACATTACAAAATTCTTCAAGTCAAGCAAAAAGGGGATAGGAATTCTCAACTTCTACAACACAAAGAAGTGTTTTGTTACAGTCTTCAGCACGTACCAAGGCAATGTGTGATGTTTCCATTTTAATGTGAAATGACAAATGTAGGAAATAACAGCATTCTCACCTGGTTTTTCTGTTCTAGCTCTTTGACTAAACTTTGAAGTTTTTGCAGCTCCTGAACATATACAGCTACCTCCTGAGGTCCCTTGGCAAGTTCAGCTCTTAACTGGTTAATGGTAGCCTAGACAGATGGACAGAAAATCCATAATTAAAACAAAATTTTGCGTAACCCAAACAAAATAGCAAAATAAAAAAAAATGCCCTTACATGCATTAAAAACAAAAACTAAACAAACAAAAAAAAAAACTATCCACAAACTCATCTCAGAGTATTGTCAGCTACAGAAACATCAATGATTTCCCAGCCGAGATTCATTCAAGACTAGAATTTCCCCAGCAGAAAATGCCAGGTTGGGCCCGCAGGCGATGAAAAATCACAGCATATTATTCATTATTATCCATTAACCACTATCACAGTTTCAGCTTGAGGTAAAGCCCTCCCCAATTCCAAGTCATTGGGATTATACATACTAGAATAATGCACTAGAAAAGGCAGTAAAAGTTCCAAGCGTGGACTGTGATGCAAACTTGGTGTGCAACCTTTGGATACACTGACCCTATGAGTATAATCAGGGTAACAAATGCTAACTCTTCAAACAGGATTGGTACACAACAGAAGAGATTAACGACTACATCGTATTTGTACACAGCAATGAAAGCAAACCAGAAAAGCACTCCTGGGTAACAACTGCCCCAAAGCACGCTGTGCTGGAGTTAATGAGAAACATTATCATTATTCCAGTCACTCTGTGACCATTCCTCCTGCAGACTTCTCATATCTTCTCAGAAAATTTTAAGAATAAAGAGTAAAAAATAAACATTTCTGAAGTCTGATCTATCCACATATAATTAAAAAATGTAGACACTGATCCATATGCTGGACAGCAAAGGTAATTGTTTTTAACAGAAGGTTAATGAATACTGAGTTATCTGAATAAAATGTATTTGTAGCATGCTACTCAGAAGCACAGGTACTTCTGGGACTTCTACTTGCTATTAATGCTCTGCTTCTTCTTGATAAACACACGGAAGAATAGTTTCCTTGCATATTTGTAATACAAAAAATAAAATGTTCTGTATGAATGCATTCATGTTGACTATAGTATTTCATAACAATCATTTCAAAGAAGGTTTTCTCCCACTGTTTTCAAAAGAACAGATTTCAGCAAGAAATAAATACTAAATTCCAGAATGAAGCAAAGATCAGAAGTAGCAGACAAAAAATATCCCATTTACAACCTTTTTACATAAAGACATAGACCAAACAGAAGATATGAATGCATTTTTTGTATGACTACATATTGTTATTAACACTCAAATTTTTTAATGCTGTTCTTTATACGGTTATTTTGTTACAAAGCTGTTAGTAAGAGTATATCCTGGGATCTGTCTGGGATGGACAAGCAATCCAAGATGTTCTTAAGAAACAGAGCATGGATATTTCACAAGTGAGAGAATACGGTGCAGAAGACATCCAGAAGCCTGCTAAGGTTACTACTGCAACAATTCAAACTAGAACCATAATTTATGTGCATTTCTCTCAATCACAAATCAAAGACCTTACCTATATTTCACTCTTAAATGGATGATGGATGAATATTCATTCCAGTACTGCCTGGTTGATATTTATTAATGCAATTAATGAAACTAACCAAATAGGAAAGCATCTATGTATCAACCTCTTAGCATTATCTTAATACAATAGAAATTGTACACATAGAAATATGTAGCAATAGCAAGCTTTCAAAAAAAATTTACCTCACATTTAAGTGTCTCCATTAGAAAGCAGAAAAAAATAAAAGGGGTGAATGAAAGATGGAAATGAGCAGTGACAAAGCCATTCATTCATACATTGTTGTCAAATATTGCCTATGCTTTGTTTGAAAAAAAATAAAAATGAAGAAAAAGAAAGAAAAAAAACCCAGACTTGGCTTTATCAAGTTCATCCATAATTTAATCTACTAATCTTGCCTAGGGTTTAATACTCCTGGCACTGAACATAGCAATCTGTAGGAACATTTATCAGATGCTGAAACAAATCCCAAACTGCAGAAACACCAAGCTCTGCAGCAGTGCAGCTGTTTTCATAATTTGCTCACTATGTAGAATTCCCTACAGTGAGAAACCAAATGTGAAATGAGTATCTCAGAACGAACATTCATCTCACATAACTGAACGCCACACTTTCAGCTGCAAATCTGAAATAAAGCATAATACTCCACAAAAGGAAAAGACAAAAATGGACACACTTAGGTGACAACTGCAGAGCTATGCAACTATTTGCATGGTTTCTTTCTCCTGTAGCATTTAAAGATACTCATACAGAGTTAAGACAATCGTTACTCTCCAGAAGTCTCATTATAAAGAAGCTTTGCTGTGGAAACCAATATTAATACACATTGCCACAGCCACCCCAGTGTAACGGCCTAGGAATCACTTTACTCTTGGTCTTAAAAGTGCAAAGTGAAATGAAACGAGCAAACTTTTATGTCCAGAACTGTACAATTTTAACAAGACAAGACTTCCATTTCTTGTTTTCTTATGGCTAATACTTTTCACAAGTGTGCTTTTGTTCTGTTTGTTTTTTTAAAGTAAAGACGTTTTCACCGCAAGGACTTCAAGTAAATTTAAGTTTAACCTTTCACTTTGCAGCAACAATAAAACTTATATTTTGACTATGTCTTTCTACCTATGTCTTATACTATTGCTGCCATAAGTTGAAGTAAGCGGAGAAGACTAACACTTCTAAGAATCAATCTGCCACTGCTCACTGCATTCTACCATGCAGCAACTCAGCCCTCTCTGGTTCAGTCTGTGCACTGAGGATAGTATACAGACATCTGATATTATCATAATTACACTGTAATTTATAAACTTTGCACACATCTAAGATTTCTTAGATTGTTCTGGGAGCAGCTGGGAGTGCTGCGTGGTCTTCTCTCCTAATCTGCTGTTACTTCCACCAGAAATGAAAAACACCATCATTTGTAATTTTTTTCCTGTTAAAAGCTGCACTTCAGAGTGAAATTTTAATATGGTTAGTTATGTCAAAGCTTAAATATACCTTATTTGAGTGAACAGAAGCAATTTACATTGCTGTGTTTCAAGATTGTAGATTTTTGTTATGCCTACATCACTGTGTCATTTTATCTTCACGTGAAAACTAAATACAATATCCAAAACCACAGGGACTACAAAGACAGTGTTTTGAAACAAAATTTAAATTCTGCAGCACGGTTGCGGGATCTCAAAGTTAAAACCAAATTACAGTTATGCAGCAACTTACATGGCCACATAACCACATCACACTCATAATTCCAACTGTGATATTCCTTTTTTCTTGTCAAATGAAGCTCTTGGCATACATACTTTTAACTTGAAAACAATTGTAGATTCATGTTTAGTACAAAATTGTAGTCTTGTACAATTCCTGGAGCTCCACATATCTGTTGGAGAGTTCAGGGGAAGGCAGGAGGGAAAGCCCTAAGGAGTTCAGAATAAAGAGGGCAGATCTTCTCTAAAGCTCTGCAGTATAAATTAAGAAACAGAAGATAAAACTGCTGTTCTGAAATCTAGGGCACGTGAAAGCCCACGATAACAAGATGCCAGAATTTCTTCACATTCCGAAATATCAGCAGGATGGAGGATACAACAAGTTCTACAGGAACTCTAAGCATGCCCTCCTGTAAAAAGGGGTATTCTGCATGGAAACAATTTTACTCGGAACCATAGTTCTGCCTTGTTTTGCTTGTCTTTGCAGTCGTGTGGGACAACAGAGAAGGGAGGTATAAAGGTTTCGAACACGGGTAACAAAGCCTTTCAGTGTCAAATTGTTTCTTAGTAAAGATATACCAAACAACATTCTAGTGAGAGGCAGCAACACCCAACAACAGAATTCTTATGCAAGTACAGATTCACCAGGCCCCCAGTAATTCTGATTAACATCATCATTCTGATTAACAACTGTTTTTATCCACATGAAGCTCTAAAAGAGAAAAAAATATTGAATCACACAAGCACTGCTCTACTTCTCTCTCTAAGCAGAAATAGTTCTACCAGAAGGTCTTTAGCTCTGTAGTAACTTCTCATGCCAAGAAAAGGTTTTGCAAGAAAACACCTGGGGACTTTTTCAAGTGTCAATACTGACAGAACTATGCAATTTACTGTAATAAATACACACGTCTCTCAGGTAAGTTAGAAGAGATTCTGTTAAGAAAAAAGCTTTGTCATTGTGATCAATAGTTCCCATTTTCAAATGAAAAAAATAATAAAGCAAAGTTAATACACACATCTTATGGTATGACTATTACCTCTGAGTTTGCCTTCTCTGCCTGCAAGTGCTTGCACTCATCTTTCAGCTTTTCAGATTCTCTCTCACATTCCAAAGTCATTTTGTCCATCAGTGTCTGAACTTGGACCAGTTCCTTTTTAAGAACAGCCACATCTTCCACACCAGGCCTTTGTAGCTGAAAAGCAGAAAAGAGTGAGGTACATGATATTCATAGATAAACTTCCAGCATCAATTTCACTTCTAAAAATCTTTCAAACTAAGTTACAGACAACATGAGATAGACAGTATTACGGCTGGAACAACAAGAAAACAAACAAATAATGTACAATTTCTAAAGGAAATGGGTTTTTAATGTCTGGTTGTCAGTTTTTGCCTATTAAACATTGAACAAGTTGACCCATTTCAACCAAATCTGGCAAAAAAGAGACATAAAATAATTGACTACAGACTTTTAAAACAATACTGTCTCTGAAAACATCACAAACAGATGAAAAATGGCCAAAAGGAGACATTTTTCAGGACTTGTCAAAATACTTCACATTAGACATATAGGTAAATCCACTAGTAATTACATCTGAAGTCCTAAAAAGTCCTTCCAACGGAAAAGCTATGGAAGAAAGGGAGTAGGAAGGCAATACTGGGCACTGAAGAAAGAAAAGTAAGTGTTGGCAGCTAGAGAAAAAGTACTGGAAAACAAAAGGTAGGAATGCAGAAGGAAAAAAGAAGACAAGAAACCAACAAAACAGGTAGAGGAATAGACAAGTCCAGTGTCTGATCAGGACCAAGAGGAACTTATGAGTATTTGCCAGCAGCTGACTACAGGGAAGAAGGTAGATAAATGCCATTCCTGCTGTGTTCCAGAGCATGTGCAGTAGAAGACAAACAAGAAGTTAGGAAGTCCTTTAGCAACAGCTCTGGAAGTAGCATGACTGCTGAGTCACTGAGATCACTCCCTGGAGCCAAGTCACCACGAGCCAAAATCCTGGAATACACACGTCAGTATCATCAGCCAAGAAGATGACAGTAAACATTAACATAGGCATGGTGATGACAGCTGCCAGCCTTTTAGCCACCATGCCACAAAACACCACTCCAGGCAGTCCTTACGAGCACAGCTGTCCAGGGACAGGCATAGCATAACACCTCATGGAAAATGAGTGATCTTAAGACAGCTTCTGGTGTCAGCGATGGCATTCACCAAGTGCAGGACCAACTGCATAACACATCCAGAGCTGGATTACTCTGCAAATTTCCTCAAGTGGGGCATCAAACGAGCAGATTACAAAATACCATATGGTAAATGTTAATACACAAGGTAATGTACACTGGAAAAATATTGAAAAATATGGTATTCTAAATCTCTTTTCAACCCACAATCAGACGTCCAATATCAACAGTTAGGCTACTTTTAAACTGTGATTGTTTAGGAAGGCATATGCTCAATTGCCTGAAAATAACAAAAACATTTATAGTGTGATGTGAATACCAGCTCTGTCTTTAAGTCTTCTATGGTACTTCTCTCCTTCAGTAGTTCCTGTGTTAGGTTTGTCATTTTCTGTTCTGCACCTTCCCGAAGGCTGATTTCTTCATCATACTTTGCTTTAAGATCTAATTAAGAAGGAAGTTCAATAAATAATCACTTGCACAAGTTGCACAAGTTGAGAACAGAATCAGACCACATATTAACATACTCACCCACAATTTCAGTGGCCAGTTGTGCTGCTTTTTGCTCAAATAAGTCTTTCATTTGCTTAATATTAAAATTTTCTACTTGGATCTCTTCTAGTTGCCGTTCTAATGATTCTATTTCCATAAAAAGAACAGTATTACTTCCTGGAATAGCTAGGATAAGGTTGTACAGTTACTTATATAAATAACAAACCACAGTAGATAAAAAATTAATTTAAGTTCACTTAGCTAATCCAATTAACTTAGTAAAGTGAGCAACTTCACTGAAGAATCTACAAGCATGATACTGAAACCTGTCACTGGCAGAGTACTATGCAGGATTAAGTAGATATTGGTTTTCACCAGTCACTAATAGCCCTTGAGAGCACTGTAACATTCTGCTGAATTCCAAACCCTGACCTGTGATTAAAAGTTCTTTAATCACAATCAGTCAGATCCTTTTTGGACACATAAAATCTTATCTTGTGAGTGCCTAGAGAAAATGAAACATGAAGCAAAAATTATTGGCCCGGAAAACAAAAGTGACAGAATTCATCAGCTTCCTTGCTAGTAATTAATACAAAAGAGCACTGAATAAAACAAGCACTGACAAATGCTACACTTTGAATGTCAACAACCATGGTCCTTCTCAGCAAAAGACTCGAATTAAACACTTGAATATATGAAATTATTAAAAACTTGCTCAAAACTATTAATAGATACTGCTTTTACAGTGAGAACTCCTTTCTTACTTCTACAAATTACAGACCCCAAGCTTCCGTACATTTCTCCACACTATAGCTGTCCTAAGCACTTGCAATTAGCTTTTTTTTTTTTTCCAGTAATAGTGCTTTCACAGCCTGGTAGGTCTTTAGTTCATCAAAAGTGCTTTTTCATTTGTCTAAAAGCTACCCTAAACAAAACTCCAGAGATCCCGAAACAGTGCAGGATTTAATACAATAAAAGGTTAGCCACCTGTAGATGTAGATGTTGTCAATCCATCAGACTTAGAATCCTTAAGAAAACAGAAGGACAAATGCAACATTAGACAGAAGGAATTAAAGCTACTACTTCAGAAGTTCATCCCTCTTTTGGAAAAGACAGAAGTAAAGACTTCTTTGCTCACATAACACACAGTAGTACAAATTGCCAACAGTTGAATCTGGAAGACTGAAAAAGGCCAAGACAATTTTCCGTTTCTTTATCACTACACTGTCTAACTTTCAGGCTTGCAAGGCTCCAGTAACAAACCCCTCCCCTTCACTTTCCTCAATATTGAAATCTGACTTAAAACACAGACATTATATTAAATACATCTGAAAAGGCACTCTGTCAGAATGTAATTTCCAATGTTTAGAACAATCCAGTGTCTAAGAAGCTCATAGTAACAAAAGAAGTGTTTCCCTAAGGACAACATATTATAAGTTGACTTAAATTGTTTGTTCAGTTCATCTTTATTGTGAAGTCACACTACTTACTGTTCTTCTCCCCTCTTTTTTTTTGTTTGCTTTTTTGAGGGCTTGGGGTTTTTTGTTTGTTTGTTTTTACAACTAACACCTTATTGCCCTTTCTCAAAGCAGGTGAAACATCACATTCAAACTGAGTTCTGAATAAGCCCAACAGAAAAATCTGAACAGAACTTATAGTAAGCACTACCATTACCCACTCCAGTACTTTTCTTCAGATTTATCTGGTTAATGTGGAGAGACAACTAGCTTTGTTTTCAAGAACATGTCAATATTCAAGTCACAGAACTAACTAAATCAGGCCACGTGCCTTACAGAAAGGTATTAATCTTCAATGTCAATGCTGATGATAAACCTGCTTCAAGTATTTTAAAGCAATTACTTGCTGCTGCTGCCCCTGCAATTTCTCTAGTTCTTTCTTCAGCTCTTCTGAATACCATCTTTCCTCCTAGAAAGTAAAAAAAGAAATGGAGAAAAAGAGAACTGTAAATTTGGTTGCTTGAGATAGCAGCATGTTTTGCAATTTGAAACAAAAAACCACATGCAAGTAAAATACATGTCCAACCTTCAGCGAAGCTTGCAAGTCTTGTACTTCTTGTCGGAGCAGTGATACTTCATCTCTGAATAAATACATCCACAGAGTGGAGAAAATGAATATGCAGTAGTTATATTTTGTCAATTACATAGAAATTCTAAATTATATTAGATAACTGGAAGACAGTAATAGACACATTCTATAAACATAATTTAAGTAATAGTTATTTTCCATTTTTTGAAAATTGGAAGAAAGTGGAATTATAGATACTTATTAGTTACCTTTGGATATCACCTGAACAACGCTAAAACATTAACAGTATAAGTAAAGAAATGGATATGTAAAAAGTCTCATGAAAATAAACTGCAAATCTAATTCAGTTCATCAACTTAACCACAAGTCAAATTGCAAAGCTGGGCATTGGCACATTTAATATTCTGTATGCCTTTTTGTGGAAGGGACAGGCCTAATGTCCTTCACTTCCCATATCACGAGGAACACTGCTAAGAGACAGCATGTGACTTTACTCCTTTTGAAGTATGTAGCTACATAATTTTTTTTACCCACACAGCAATTCAGTATGCCCCATATATGCACTCAATGAATGGTCTGAATACTTAAGGCCTTGAGATTTTAAATTCTCAAATTGAGCCATTCAAGAACACAAGATTCGAGGCTAAAATTGTTACTAGCTGCACCCTTCTAAATCTCAGGTCTCCTTAAAGAATTGTGTAACTATACAGATGAGTTATAACTCATCACTCAGATACAGCCACTCCAAATGCAAACACATCCCTTCCTATTGCTTATACAGCAGCAGCACAGAGGCACACAGAACATGTATGTGTGTGGGTGTCAATACCAACATATTCTTTCTGTTTTATACCAAACAGTTTTATAGCTCCTGTGCTGCATTATCCCCTCCTCCACAGATGTTCCTTAAAACTGTCTCATACTTAGAAGAAAAACAAAACAACCTATTCCTTAGCTAAACCACAACAGAAAAAATTCAGCCTTCATTTCACATTAACCACAGGGTCATCAAGAATGTAGTGAAACACATACACTTGAACCAATGAAGAACTCCAAGGCTGACCAATTTTAATGGCCAAACGAATGCTGTCATTTTTGCAGAAGATCTTCTGCTATTTACAGATTATTTGTCCTGTGAGAGATAAACTGGAGGTTCCTAAATAAAACTGTAATGAGACAGGTATAACTGCTACTCCAAACCCATGTACCGTTTGAGCTTTCTCACAAGTATTAAGTAAACCAGCAAACATTCACGCCTTAGATTATAAATGAAATCTTAGGCAGCTGAAACACGGTTAATAAAACTGAAGCTAGGGCCGAACATGCACCAGATCAGCAGTACTAAAGTATTTATTACGCTCTAGATTGTACATTTTTGAGCTACATAAAAGTAACTTGTAATTGAGAGGAAGAACAAGGGGATGAGATGGGGAAAAAATGAAAGTATTCTACTGCAGTTTTTTCAGTATTCACCAACATTGCTCTGCTTGACAATTTTAAGACAAAACCTAAATTTGACTTACCTGTCCAGCAAAGAATGATTAGGAAAAAAGTAATGAATCACTCTAGAAGTGTACATGTTTTCTTTCTTACTGCCACCCAAACCCTCCCTCAATCTCCATTTCTCCTAGTGCTGTTCAAATTCCATTTTAACTCCTGAACCTCGCCATTCAGCCAATATCTGCTACATTTTCCTCATGCTTCTCTCTAATCCTCAGTACTGATGCCTCCATCCAGGCACTGCATACCAGTGGTCCAGCTAAACTGCACTGGGGAGAGTTGCATGATCTGTTCTTGGCACTATTAACAGTAGTTTAATGGCAAGGGGGCTGAACAGACAAAGTAATTCATCATAACTAGCCTCCCTGCTGACTAAATAAGGAACTACACAGCCCAATCTTGGTCATATGGATCAGATGCAAACTTTACCCCTAGAGCACTAACAGAGTGCATCCCTGCTGCAGGTCAGAGCATTACTTTAATGCAGTATTCTGAGTATTAAAAAAACGTGTTTACATTGAATATGAGTAGCGTGCAACTGAGAAACATTAAAGAAATGTCACACTAGCAGAAAGAAATAGCTCATGTGTTACACAACAGCTCTGACCAGACTCCCCGTGCTCCATCCAACTCCCTGACCTTGTCCACTTATTGAATTACAGGAGAGAGAACAAAACCACTTGTCCTTAAACTGTCAAGAGGCAGAAAAAAACATTAAATTGCACCAGCCGACATCTGGTTGACATTGGAAACTTGCAGGCATAGAAATAAATCTTCCATAAACTATATACACAATATAGTTATGACCAATAATTCCCCCATGTGGATGCTATTGTTCTACTACGAGTTACCATTTCAAGTTTAAGTTACATTGCTCTGAAAAGGTTTAAATCAGAGAAAAAAAATACTTACTCTTGAGTAAATGTGTACACAGGAAACCCAATATAACCCTGCAACTATGATATTATTTCTTCATATATAAGCCTGAATTTCAATTTCTTTACTTCTCCCCTGGCTATACAATTCCCTTTCTTTCAAACTATCTTCCTGCTGATCCCTCATGGATCGGGAGAACACAGAATAAAAGTGATCATAAAAAAAGCACCATTGGAGGGGAAAAAAAACGATAAAAAAGAAAAATCTACTCCCCTCAAACAGTTACACTGTAACACACTCAAAATAAAGCAATGGCAATTGTATTGCTTTAAAAAGCAATAGTATTTGCTTTGCTCATTAGTTATATTCAGCCAAAATCCTACAGCATCTGGAAAAGGACAGCATGTCTAAGGAAGGGCTCCCGTCCATCCATACAGACAAGACGTCTGATAACGTTGGCTCTTCCTGGCTCAGTCTGCACAGCACTGGGGAAACAGAGATCTTCATTCGGGTAATAATCAAAATATGTTACCTTCCACACACTCTTCTCACTAAAGTATAAGCCTTGTGTGAGTTAAGTAAATACGTTAATTTTATCAATGTAAGCACTGGGGTCATTTTTGGGTCATATATCTACCAGTCACAAACACCTGAGTGGTTTACTTCCTGCAGTAGCAGAAGCAGCTCCATTACTAAGTGAACACCAGCAGGGTTATGCAGCCTGTACCTTTGTCTGCTGACCAAGGCCACAGTCAGCTGCTCACTTTGACACTACTGTGTACAAAACAAAAAGGAGTTTGAGGGAGAGGTGACCAAACAGCAGTGTGGACTGTCATTTACAACTGTCCAAAATAAACACTAATCAGAAAAAGAACCAACAGGCAGCAGAAAGGACCCTGTGTAAACTTCATCCCTAAGAAAAAGCTTGCCAAACCAACACGAGGCGTTACTCAGAGAGATTACTCTCAACTGTTCTACCAAGAGCAAGTTCATTTCATCAGTTTCTGCTACATGCAGCTGGTCTCAGAAATAAAACAACCTGATGTGTTTCACAGGAACACACTTAACAAAATGCTTTTGACCGAAGAGTTAAAATCAATTAGAGAAGACTTCTACAAATGAGGATGGAGTTTCTGGAACATAGAAAGCTGATACAGTGACACAGAGACTTCCCAGATTTGGAAATAGCTAGGTGATAAGGGAATCTATTCAGACAAAAATTGATGTTATAATTACACAGTAGGTACCCTAACCACCAAGAGACAAAATCATGTCTCTCCTCTCTCTTTAGGGTTGTCCCTCCCCATGCTCAAAAGAAAAAAATTCAGCTCTGTGCTGCAAATAAAAATGAACCAATATTTTTCTTCCATGCTTAAAAATCTTCCAGTTTGTTACAATACATTCTCAAAAGCATGAGAAACTGCTGGAGTTAACAATACAAACATAAACAACTGACTTCCATTTACTGCCATATCAATATTAGTCAATATAAGTTTCAAGCTGCTTTTTAATTGTAGTTGGAAATGGGATATGAACATTTAAATACTTCACCACATAATTAAGTGCTCAAATTAATACAGCCTTCAGTGTAATTAGAAGCAGCTCAACACTGACACAAGAGCACAAGCACAAATGAATAGTGTTCCACCTTTCTGATGACAGGTGACCTTCCCCTCCACAAGTTGAATCGATGCCAGAATTATGAACTGCTTCATAGTGCTTGAACAGCTCCTCAGCTGATCCATGAGACTTCATACACAAGGGACAGATAAATCCCTATTATAAAGAGAAGAGAGGGAAAAAGAAATTAGAAAAAAATAAAGAGATGTCAGAAGTAAAATCTGACTTTTTCTATCTCTACCAAAATGATCTTTGCATATCTAAAAGGCAAGAGATACAATAGCTATTCTTTAAACATTCACGGTAAGAATTTCTTGATCTAATAACAGCTCTAGCATTTAGAAATTTAGAAAATGTCCGTAAAATTCATATTATTCAGTGTTGCTTTGTTGCTTTTTTTTCCCCAGCAGCATTACATGTGAGTAACAAAGTACTGATTTAGAAAAAATCTTCGAAGGACTGCATTGCAGTTACTATCACATTTAGGCTATTGATTTTACTAAGGGCCAGGAAATCAACACTTTTTACCTTGCATATAATTAACCAGTACATGCAATTCACAGAATACTATATCTCAAGGAAGTCATATCTTTACAGCCTAAAGAAGTCATCCTCTTTTAATCCAGAATACTTACTGAAAGCTTACCAGAGTAAAAACTTAGCAGAGCAATACCATCATTCAACCCACCAGCACACAGCCAAGTGAAAACTTAATATTATGTACCTCTAAACATCTGTGGAGTGTACAAACTGCCACTTATCAGAAATGCCATCCATCTCATTTTATTTAGCATTCTGTTTCCACGGGCTAGATTTGATTATGGTTCTTCACTCACTTGGTTATCATGCCTGCTCCCAGCCTAATTATCATTTAAACTATAGACAACACACACTGCAGTGGCAAGACAAAGAAATTTTTGAGTGAGAGTAAACAGTTTAGTCTCACATTGAAGGCTCTTTATGATGCCAGACTGTGTAAAGAGAACCTTGTGCTTGGCTGCTTAGACTTAAATAACCAAATATTTGCATGGATTCAGTCCAAGAGAACCAAGTGAAGTACAAGAATTCAAGCAAGGAGACGCTCCAAAGGACCAAACAGAAACTTTCTAGCTGTTATTTATTTAATGTTTTAAGAAATCAATAATTAAATACAGTTGCTTGCTAAATCCAGCACATACCATGTTGAAGACTAATTTTAGTATAACTCTGTTAAAAAAGCAGTATACTCCATCGAGAGACAGCAGACATTTACCTTTAACAACCATTTCCTATTTCCAGAACTGGAAATGAAACTGTATGGTTTCATTTCAGATTAAAACAAGTAACTCATATACAAGCATACATAACAACATGGGTACGGAAAGACAAATGAACTGCTAAGTTCTCAATAATGTTTATCTGAATGCACTGAAAGTACCAGAGGGAAATTTCAGACAATTCCTGGCAAATAGCAGTGGCAGTGAACTATAGAAGCTGTCAAAAAGCAAGGAGTGTATTTTAACTAGCAGCTGAAAGCAGGCAGACTCATTTGGCACACTGGAACAGAAGCCCTCTCTGGATGAAATGCTGCCAAGTGATTCCCAGCCTGCTGCTTGGTTTCCCTGTGACAGGAAGGTCTGCAGCGCACAGAGAAAAGCAGACATCCCTCACTGCACAAGTAAGAGCATCTGAAAAACTGTAGAAAATTGCTTGGTCCTCTCCTTCCTATCGCCCTTTATTTCTTCCCATTTAAAGAGCAGAGACTTCTATGCTTGCGGTTTTTTTTCTTTTTCTTTAATACATGGTTGGGTTTTACTCCATGGCAAGAGGGGCCCTGGAGTAGAAGAAATAACAGGTTACATTTGCAATTAGCCCAAGGGGACAGCAATCAATCACCTGTCTCACCATCAGGCAAAGCCAGCCTGAGATGCCCCAGAAAGTCACCACAGTGGTGGCAAGGACAAAGGAGCAGAGGGGCAAGTTGGCCAGCAAGGCACCAGGCTACCACTGAGACCCGGGGGGTGGAGCTCCTGCTCTGGAGGCAGCTTTGCTGTCATTAGCAAGGGAGGAAGCACAGCAATATCTACTCCTCCTAACAGAAACCAACTTCCTCCCACACGGGCAGGGCACAGAGCATCACCACCAGCCCCAGCTCCTGCTCAGCCGTGACTAGGCAGCCTCACTCAGAGGGACCTGGCACTGCTGGAGTCAGCACTGGGTTACAGCTCCCACACACACCCTTCATGCTGACACAGCATTTGCAACAGGTCCGAATCTCAAGCTCCCATGAGATGCTTCCCTTTTGCAAAGGGGCTTTTCTGTTGCAGAAAGCAACACCCTTACGGCTGCATGCAGAGGTGGGGTGGGTAAGAACACCGGCTCCTCTAGCAGCTCCCAAGTCTGCATACCCAGGCCCGAATCCTTCTCACAGCATGATAACACTGTTGAAGTCAGAGCTGATGGCTGAATAATAATCCAGGTCTCCTTACAGAAAGGGGACAGAACCAGCAGGACCTCCCCAGGCCCCATCTGGTAACATACAGAAGCATACAGCTGTCCTGCAGCTATTAGCCCCACAGAAGAATCACGTTTGGGGTGGTGGGTCTCACTTTTTTTTTTTTTTTGTAGTTGCATTTTAAGGAGAAACCATTTCTCAGCATTGTCTTGAGACGCGTTTTGAAAATGTGCAAAAGTATATTGTATTAAAGATGAACATACGAAAAGGGGAGAAAGAAGGAAAACTGATGGCCCATACTTAAATCTTGCAACAATTTTTGTTTCAAGGAATAACATCAAGTGCAAGATGCACGGTCCTCTATCAAGATAACATTCTGAATAATGAGGAAATGGCACAGTTATTACATGAGATGTAATGCTCCCCCCAACAGGGGTAGGGCAGGGAGGTCTCCAGTCCAGTAAGTCTACATTTGGCTTCCTTAACTAAAAGACTTGGAGAACAAACAAGCACTGCTCTTGTATTCAAAGAAGAAAGCTACCATACATAACATGCACAATTACACCTTTCAAAAGGCTGTATTTGCCAAGAGATATTTGGTAAATTTCATTTCAAAACGCATTTACAAGTAACTTTGCATAAAGCACAGCACAACCACAGAGAAGTGAAAGGCATTTAATATCTTTGCTTTTATGAAATGAAGATTATCACCTATGACCCCTGCAGTGCTGCACTGTAACTTGTAATTTCCCAGCAGATGTTTGTAATTGAGCAAAATCTTCTGCTTTATTTAAAGAGAAAAGAGCACCCAAAAAGTTGAAGGATGGTTTTTGTTCTCATATACAGAGATCTTCCAACAGGAAATGGCAATTAAATAAAAAAAAAACAACAACCACATGCATGAGTTCTTATCGCGAAAGTGTTTTTAAGATCACCACCAACCTTCCAAAGCAAGATAGAGCAAGATAAGCCCAAACCAAAATACCATACATGTACACAAACAGTCCACTGGGAATCCACATGCAATTTACAGCTCACAGTAGTGTCTGACCCACTGGACAAGGTACTCCAAAGAGAATGAGACAGGAATTTCAAACCCCGATTTCCCACTTCAGCACCCAGCACCTCCACATTGCCCTCTGTGGAAGAGGACTTTCTCAGCACAGACATCAAAACAAAGGAGTTTCAGTCAAAGCAGAACAGACATTGCTAGGTAGAAGCTGCATAGGAAGGTGTCTTGCCTCAGTTTGAGTTAGAATGACAAATTTCGCCAATTATCTTGGACTTCATGGAAGTACCAGTGGCTTTTCTATTTCCTTTCATCAAGTCTTACGAGCAAGCCTGTAGAGGGGAAAAAGTGGCTACAAACATTCTTCTAATACTTCAGATATACTTTCAGACCTGGTAAAGTTAGTTTCTCAATGCTCCCTCTCCTAAAAGGCATATGAGGTAAATGATTCCTTTCGGGTAACATTAATATTCTTACAAATCATTAATACAGCATCTTTTGGGAAGCAAGCCAGGATACTAAAAGCAACACTGGAAGGAAACTCTTGCACAAGAGCTACCACATTTCTTTTTACTGGACCAATATAATTTACAGGGATATTAACTGTTCAAAGAACCTTGGCCTCCCACCCACAAACACTCCCCAGAAAGAGCTGGGGCATGGACTCAGCACACTGTGTGCTACCAGACTGACTGCAGCCTGCCACAGTGTCCTCTTAATCCTCAGTCATTTTAGAAGCATATAGAAAGACTATACAAATAGAGAAATTCACGTATAGGACTGCTTCTCTGGCTTCTCCTATTATTACTCTGTAGGATTGATGAAGGAATACAATAAAAATACAACGAAAACTTCAGCTTTATCAGAATATTACCTTTCTTTTAAATGTTTTTCCTCATCATTCTGCACAAAGCTGATGTGAACATCAAGTTGTGTGTTGTGACAACACCTTCACAGCAGAAATAATTTCCCTACTCACTAGCAAAGAAAATTAAAGATTTCAAATCATTTCATATATTTCTTCAACAAGAAGAAGGCTTCAGCACGCAGCCTGAATTATTTTATTTTTAAACCTCCACGTAGGTGTCTAACTCTCCAATTGCTGTCAGTGGATAACTATTGATACAGCTAATGGAGCAAGCAACTCTGCAGCTGACCTAACTAATGTGTATAATGTAAGTAGGGTCAGCAAGTGAGGTCCCCATCAGACTCCATTGCTGCGAACTGGAGCTTGAAGCACGCCTTAAACCTAAATCTAAGCACTTACCAACTGTTCTATTTTCCAGAGCTTTACTGAAATAGTCTTTGTAGAGCTAATATGAAATCTTGTCTTACGTAATTAATGAGTGAAACGCAGATTACTTTAGGCTTCTTTTTCACAAATTAAAACTGGAGTTAGCTAGTAAAAAGAGGCCACCACTTCTTTAGGGACAGCCTCATGGGCAAAACAGCTTATACAGATTTGCCTATAGAGTTGGAGTACAAGAGAAGGAACCCTAGGCAAGTTTGGAAGTCACAGACATAACTACCCAGCTTCCTTAGCGTTTGTTTAAAAACTGAATGACTGCCTATTCTGTTCTCCAACCCCATTTTAATACTGAATAGAACTGAACAAATGGTTGCTCTAAATTACTGCTGATCTACAGTTGTCTGTGGTACAGAGCCATATAACATGAACAGCACGCATGGAGCTTATTTGCTAATGCAAGCAGA